ATTGCTAATTATTGTTTACTATGAGTGCAAATTGTATTTACACTTTATTTATTCTCTGGCTTTAAAGTGTCGTCAACATGAACCTGGTCTTTCAAATTATTTGATGTAAAAAATTCTCAGGAATAACGAGATCAAACATAATTTGATTTCTATTTTCAATAGTAAAATAATAAGTGCTTTAATTGTTCTAAAAAATAGAATTATATTATTTACCTACAACATCTCATTATTAAAAAATCAATATTTGAAACACATGTTAAAAAGTTATTAAAGAAGATAGCACCTACTTGCTATTTATGCCACCTATATCATGCTGATCGATATTCCAAAGATAACCTAACCATGCCACTCGGTTGTCTTGCGGGTTGTATTGATAGATGGGTACAAAGTAAGCTATATGAAAACACCAACACTTGTAAGAACATTGATCATGGTAGTTTCAAACATAACCAAATCATATAACTTGTTTGTGTAGCGGTTTGTATTAATAAAGCCGTACACAGTGCCATAGAGAGGTCGGGTGTCGCCCGGTGCGGCATTCAATTTTATGACACCCACCCATACCCATACCCATACCCATACCCATACCCATAACCATACCGATACCCATACCGATACCCATACCCATACCCATACCCATACGCATACCCATACCCATACCCATACCCTTACCCATACCCATACACATACACATAAACATACACATAAACATACACATACACATACACAAAAAAATAGACATACACATACACATACACATACACATACACATACACATACACATACACAAACACATACACATACACATACACATACACATACACATACACATACACATACACATACACATACACATACACATACACATACACATACACATACACATACACATACACATACACATACACATACACATACACATACACATACACATACACATACACATACACATACACATACACATACACATACACATACACATACACATACACATACACATACACATACACATACACATACACATACACATACACATACACATACACATACACATACACATACACATACACATACACATACACATACACATACACATACACATACACATACACATACACATACACATACACATACACATACACATACACATACACATACACATACACATACACATACACATACACATACACATACACATACACATACACATACACATACACATACACATACACATACACATACACATACACATACACATACACATACACATACACATACACATACACATACACATACACATACACATACACATACACATACACATACACATACACATACACATACACATACACATACACATACATTTTTCACCCCTCCCCACCCCACCCCCCACCCCACCCCAATGCGACGGCTTTAAACTGTGCCCAGTTATAACACTAACGACTTTTATCTATAGACGGTTAGTACAGCTTGATGTAGTATGTTTTCTCTATCATTAGCAGGTTAACGTCATGGTGTCGTCCCCCACCTCCACCCTTGTCAGGATTTGTCAAATTTGCTCTTATAGACTAATTAATCGCTTAAATAAGTGGAATTATCAATTTTTTCTGCATATATTTTGCTATTTTCTGCTTTTGTATCAACCCCCCAAATGGTGTTACCGGGTGCTCTGCAACCCCCGTTCCCCCCTCCTCGCTACGCCTCTGGGGGCTCATATAAAACTATTTGAAAACACAAACAGTTGTCAGAAATTTGAATATTTTTAACGGATGTTAACAGCCACGCTAAAAACTGTCATACATACATGATTTAATTTGCATACAAAATTTTGCTAAAACACTAGAGCGATCACAAAATTCAGCGAATTTTAGTATTGAGCTAACGAGATGATATATAGTGCAGTAAAGGGTAGTTTAACAGAAAATTAATAGACATGCATGTAGTGAGATAGGTCTAATAAAATATGATGTAATAGTCTTATAGGTATTGAGGTTTAAGATTGACTGAGGTACCTGATCTGTAAATCTATTAAATTGAAAAATATTTTTTTTAAATTATTTAAAATTTAAAAAATACGGTTAAAAAGGTCTATGAGGTCTTATAATCTTTACAAAGTTATGTTTCTATTTGATTTTAGTATCGTCACTTAGTATTTTTATTCCACTACTAAATTCTATAACAAAAATACTATTGTATTACTATTGTCAATTTTTAAATTGATACTCTTGTTTTCTGAATTTAAAAAATCCCTGAAAATATCATTTTCTAATGCTAGTGATAAGTTAAAAAATGTATGTTTCTCACCTTCAGACCTCATGCTAAAAATGACAGCCAAAATCAGAAATAAACTTGTCAATATTTTCATTTTGTCAACTGTTTTTTTCACTCACTGTAATCAGTAGCGACCTCTTCAGTGTGATCTAATGGTCACAATGTCCAGGTCAACAATTAGTGTCGACCTGCAGTGCCCTATTTCAAGGTATTTAAGGTATGACGCGCGAGTTAAGAGAGGCCAGTAATATGTTTGGGAAGCGGATTACGCTGATTGGGTTGGAGGCGGGAGTTGGGATAGAGAGGGGGGGGGGGGGGATAAATGGAGTGTAGGATAAAAAAATCTGTCTGCCTGCCTACCTGCTACCTTCCTGACTGCCTGCGGGTCTTTCTGTCTGCCTGCCTGCCTGCGTGTCTGTCTGTTTGTCTTTCTGTTTGTCCTTCTGTCTGTCTGTCTGTCTGTCTGTCTATCTATCGGTCTGTCTGTCTGTCTGTCTGTCTATCTCTCTGTCTGTCTGTCTGTCTGTCTGTCTGTCTGTCTGTCTGTCTGTCTGTCTGTCTGTCTGTCTGCCTGCCTGCCTGCCTGCCTGCCTGCCTGTCTGTCTGTCTGTCTGTCTGTCTGTCTGTCTGTCTGTCTGTCTGTCTGTCTGTCTGTCTGTCTGTCTGTCTGCCTGTCTGTCTGTCTGTCTGTCTGTCTGTCTGTCTGTCTGTCTGTCTGTCTGTCTGTCTGTTTGTCTCTCCATCCACACATCTTTGTTTGCCTGTTAAGTTAAGCTGATCGAACTAGGTTGTGAATTTAATTTAGTTCTTCTTTTAATCTGTTCTCTTGGTGCTTTCTAATTGCAATTTATAGTTCACAATCCAAAAATGTTCGGCTGCACAAAAGCGCAAGTTAAGGCCCCTGTTTCAGTTTAGTCATTGAATGTAGTGTCTTACTATTTTCCTATTTTATGGTGCTCTTGAAATTTAACATGAACATGATTATAAGCGCCATGGTGTTTACATAGAAGACGGCCTGCAGAAAATCACACGACCACTAGGATGCCAGCTGACGCGCATGTTTCCATTAAGTCTAAGATTATTTTTAGTTAACCAAATATCTGTTGATGTTAATCCTTCAATACGATTACAATAATTCCTCTATACTCTGTATACGTGTAAGTTAAAAGGACAATCACAATAATATAAAACTTCATCACGGCATAATTATAGAACACACTCCAAAGAAAACCAAACATTATCCCGCCCCACACATAAATCAATTCCCAATCCCCTCACATTAAAACTCCATCCTCTTGGCTACTCTATCACACTTTTGAAAGCAATACGACACCCACATAGCCTACGATACCCTATCAATGGAATATTTTACACCATATAGGTCATTTCTCTTTATCTGTTTGTTCGTCTGTTCGCCTGTTCGCCTGTTCGTCTGTTCGTCTGTTCGTCTGTTAGTCTTTTTGTCTGGTAGTCTGTTTGTCTGTCTGGCAAAGCTAAGCTGATTGAGATAGGATCTATTGTAAAATTTAATTTCAATTCTTCTCCTAATTTTTCGTATATAACGCAGTTTGATATTGGTTTTAGAATAGCTTTCAACTCGGACAATTTTTCAAACACCTTCGACATTTTAAATACTACTAGACTACCCGTCATCCTTTGGATAACTGTGGGTTTGAAGGGTCATTCATAAATAACATCACGTCTGTCACTTGTCATCACACAAAATACCAGCCCCTACACTAAAAAAGACGTCACACCTCAGACGTTTTTCTTTTAAAAACACAGATTTCGGCTGAGCATTTGTCTTATCACTCTATTCCTTCATATGCTAAGGTCACAAAAACAGGTCAACTCTACTTCACCTGCTCAGTGTCCCGCCAACTCAGACATGATTTTGTCTTTTAAAACACAGATTTCCGCATAGAATGTGTCTGACCACACTATCCCTTCATATGCTGACGTCACAGGTGAACTCTACACCTACCCAACTCTACTTCACTCCCCAGTGCCCTGTATCCAGCCAAGTTCCGATAGGCAGCTTTATTATTCACATCTAAAAAAATGGAAACTTTTTTTTACCATTGACATGATATGTCACAAACCCGTGCAGTTAGCATGGTAACCCATTACACTAACACCTTAGCTATCCCTAAAGCAAGTGTCTATTCGGGCGTTTGTCGCATTCGGGAAAGTGTCCATTCGGGCATTTGTTGCATTCGGGCAAGTTTCCATTCGGGAATTCGGCCCTCGAGCAAGTGTCTTTCGAGAAAACATCCAGCTCCCCGGGAAGAAGCATAAGATGTTTGAATGATTATACAAATAAATAAGAGCTAACATTAGTGTCTTTATTTTCATGTATCGATGATTATTATTATTATTGTGTACTGTATTTTATGTTCTATTTATAATTCAATTTTTCTCTGAATGTAAAAGAAAAAAGATTATGCAGAATTGATTTCTAAATTCGATAGTCCTCTAAGAAGAAGTTGATTAGTATAAAATATCGAAAAAGAATTGCAATAAAACAAAACTATATTTTAACCCTCCTTGACACTATTAACGAAAACCAAATCTAAACACGTTCCATAATTCTCACAACCCAATCCACAGCTATAAACGTGACACATCCCATACATCCCACACATCACAACTCAAAGCTAATTCTACTTAGCACAGGATAACTAGATGGATGGATGAACAACAACCGACAAAAACTATGAGGCCTGTAATTTGTTTTAATTTTTGCTTTCATTTGATTTTAGGTAAAAAATAAAACGAAGCTACTTGATTACTTTTATAAAATTACCCAAACATATCGTTACGTTAACAATTTAGGCTCCGTTTTGCACAATCTGGTCAACAAGGAACGTCAAAGCTTCAATTCATTTAAATAAATTTAATGTTCACAATAGCCGCCTCTAAATAAAAAAAAACGGAAATTGTTTGTGTGATTAAATAAATATATAAATAAAATATAAAAATAAATAAATAAAATAAATTAAAAAAAAATAAATGAATATATTTGTAATAGATTAATATATATATATATATATATATATATATATATATATATATATATATATATATAATGCATTTGTAAGTTTGTGTATGCGCTTCTACTTACGAACTGAAATATATATTTTTTTTGTGTGGATGTATTTAATGTTTTTTCAAAGCTACGCATTTAGGACTGAACTTTTTCTTCGTTTTTTTTTATTTGGTAGGAAAATTAGTAACATAACGACCAAGTACTTTTTATAACGTGTGAATCCGCTAGAAATTCTTTACTGTGGGTATACTAAATTTGTATGTGAATGCGCTTATTTCTTTTCTTCTATTATTTTTGCCTCATCTTTTTTAAATTTCCATCTCTGATGTATATATATATATATATATATATATATATATATATATATATATATATATATATATATATATATATATATATATATATATATATATATATATATATATATATATATATATATATATGTGTGTGTGTGTGTTTGTTTGTTTGTTTGTGTGTGTGAGTGTGTTTTATAAAAAAGTTTACTAGCATCTCAGATTTGGTGGACAGCATCTGCCTACTTTAGGTCCACACACCATTAGGGCTTGTTGACAGCTGAAAAAAATGAAATTTGAAGTTTGTAGACAATATTAAAATAAATAGACATATATGCTTTAGCTAGTGTGACACTATGTTAATTTAACTAACTTTTTGCAAATAAAACGGCGGCAACAAAGTTGATAAGTTATAAAAGCAGTTTCTTATTTTGTATTTAAGTGGTAATTATTTTAAATTATCATAGTTATGTTTACTTTTTACTTTATCGTATACAGAGTATAGAGAAAGTATTGTAGTCGTGCAAAAAACAAAATCACACGAAATTTTGACAGTTTTCACCGTTTTACTTCTAAGTAGGCCTACTTCATCATATACGGATTATAGGGGACTTATTTTAATCGGGCATAATTACTAAATACAGATTTATTAAAGTTTCGGCGTTTTACGCGTAATCGAAAACTGGACTTTGCAATTCTGTCCATGTGTTTCTGTAAGTGTTTATGAGTGTCTGTGAACACGATAACTTGATTACCGTTACACCTAGGTTGATGAAATTTTATATGTAAGTATTATACCAAATGTGTAGTTCTGAATAAACTTTTTAGCTATTTCCGATTATCGAAAGTGGGACTTATTCTACTTTTGGTTTTTCAAAAGGCTATAACTTTAGTACTATTTCAGCTAAATAAACGAAATTTCACAACAGAGTAAAAGATCTAGATTTTTGTCTTCTGTTAAATTTTGAGTAATTTCCGTTGACCGAAAGTACTAATTTACGTTATTTCTTATTTATCAAAAAAACGGGAGACGAACGTTTTCCCGAAAGACACTTGCCCGGATGCCATTTTGCCCGAAGGCCGATTTCCCGAATGGACACTTGTCCGAATGCAACAACCACCCGAATGGACACTTGCCCGAGTGCGATAAACGCCCGAATGGACACTTGCCTGAATGCGACTAATGCCCGAATGGACACTTTCCCGAATGCGACAAACGCCCGAATGGACACTTGCCCGAATGCGGCAAATGCCCGAATTGACATTTGCCCGAAGATAGAAGTTTTGTTGTATAACTAAAACATATCTGACTATTGAAAGATCAACCGTTGTAAAGCATTTAAATAAAAAAAACCTCTTGTTTTTTAGCGCAATTTCCATACGGACAATGGCGATTATTAACTCGTCAAAGATGTGTGTCCGATGTGTGTCCTCAGGTTTAAGTCGTATCTCCTCCTCAACGAAGCAATATCGAGGACTAGTTCCAAAGCAAATATGTTAAGCAAGTTTCAAGGATGTTTGTGGGCCAAAAAATTCCCGGAATTCCTTTCTGGATTTCCTGGAAAAGCCAAAAAAAAAACTCGAAAAAATGCAGTTTTTGCCCATATCTCGGCAACCAGACCACTTAGCGACTTGAAACATTTACCAATCAATTTCTGCCATAATTTAGAACAATATTGCCGAAGAAAGTTTTCAAAAATATCCTTTCGTTCGGTCACAAAAAATTAATTAAGGAAATTGCGCTTAAATTGTCACTAGACTTTTTATTAACTTGTTTAAAGAAGATAGCACCTACTTGCTCTGATCTTCAGCTAGACGAGAACCAAGTTGTTTGTCTGTTTCCATGGTCGAATTAAACTCTATATGAAAACACGAACATTTGTTAAAAGCTTGAAAAATTTTTAACGGATGTTAAAATATTTAAAAATAAAATAGTATGTTGCTAAAACAACAGAGCAACAGCAATACTCAGCAAATTTTACTATTTAGCTAACGAGGTGATAAATAGTGGGGTAAAGGGTAGTTTAACAGTCAAATAACAGTCAGGTAATAGACATAAGCATTGAGGAGAGTGGTGTTAGTCATATAAAAATTCATTTATAAATAATGAGGCAATCGTCTTATTAGCAGTGAGGTTAAGTGTTGATATGCTACAAGATTAGACTCATTGGTAATAAAGAAAGTAATAAAGAAATTAATATGTGAATCCATAAACAAAGAAAACAAAACACATGAAACATAAATTACAAAAATTTTCAATATATTGTTATTACTGCTTCTTCAACCTATACAATTACTTCTGCATTTGTTGTTGACTGTGTGCGAGAAGGCAGCGCACATCTGCGAAATCCAAGATTTCGAGCTGTTATGTTCGTTAAATTCTAATTTGTTTCCTCTGATTTGTTTCGTTATACAATCAACCAGTAAACAAATACCAAAAATCGTATTTCAATGTGTACAGTAATTTCCTATTTTACTGATCGGATAGCGATACAAGAATCCGTGATATTTAGTTTTATTTAATGCAGTGATCCAGACAAGATGTAATGCAATCACGTAAAAGTATCTGATCTCTCACGGTGCAGTTGAGAGAAGCGTAAGAATCGTACAAAGAACTAGTCGCGTCATTTCTTAGCAAAACTGGGTAGTGAAATCGTACATTAAGCGTTAATTTATTGGTTTCTTTTCTAAGTGTTAAATTAGTTATCTACTAATCTTCTTAATATTATTCTTCGTTCTTAATTTTAGTGTTGGAAGTGATTCCCTCCAACACAATTAAGTATACGTGTCAATTGGTTATGCGCCATTGAGGCCATTGATTCTGTTTTCAGACTGCTTTTGTTTTTGTATTTGCTTCCATAACCTTTGTCCATCCAAGTACAAACTACAAGGCAGCTGTTGTTTGATTTTGGAGTTGTCTCTCCTAGAAGAGTGGCTGTCCCCAGCTAACGAGCCTCATCTGTCCAAGCCAAATGATCTAACCCAGGGGTCGGCAACCTTTTGAGCCAAAAGTTACAATTTTCAAAATTTTCCTGGTTTTAAAAAAAGCCACTAAATTTTTTTTTTTTATTTCAAATTTTTTTTTTTATTAAGATTATTAGTATTTGTTCAAAGAGCTGGAGAGCCGCATCTTGATATCAAAAGAGCCGCATGCGGCTCGCGAGCTGCAGGTTAACGACCCCTGATCTAACCAAGCGAAGGATTGAACGTTAGCCTACCACACGGTATGTTTTAGGCGAAGGATCTGCCCGAGTGTTCAAACTCGAGACTTTTCGGTTTAGCGACCATGAGCTTTACTGACTCCACTCCACCACGCCGACTACTCAAAGATCCAGTACGGTTTTTTGTTGGTGAAAATTTTTGGATAAAGCTGGTAGAGCGGATTTTAAACGTCACTAACTCTTTTTTAATGTTGCAAAATCGTAAAATGCGCTTTAGTAAAATTGCTTTCCTTTCCATGTGATATCGGTTATCTACTCACTAATCCAGTGTAAATTTTTCTGATTTTAGTCTTCGAAAAAGCGGATAAACTCCCAATCTAGGAAAGATGGAACGCGATTTATTTTCGGTCTCTGTTTCTTAAGGTTATATGTTTTACAGTTACAAAATCAAGGTAGAAAACAGTTAAATCAGTATGCAAAGGCTCTTACCCGTTAAATTTCTTAACCGTGACTGTTTATAATTTGACATTGCAGCTTAAAATTAGCTTTAATTTTATTTATTTCTTTTTTGGCGCCCCCTAGGGTCGGCGCCCGGGGCGGCCGCCCTCACCGCCCCAACCTAGCCTTCCCCCCCCCCCCCCCTTAAATTTACCTCTGATGTCTGGTAAATTTTTTTAATTGGTAAATTTTATTTTGTTAAAACAAAATAACCTGACAATATCGATGTTTAACATTAATAGAATGTCAAAAATGTATGTTTCTTACCTTCCGATGCCATGGTTAAAGCGACTACAAATCAGAAATAAGCTTGTAGATATTTTCATCTTGTCATCTGTTTTTCCCACTGTAATTACTAGCGACGTCCTTCAGTGTGATCTGATGGTCAGAATGTCCAGGTCAACAAGTGTCGACCTGCGGTGCTCTATTTCAAGGTGTTTCTCACAATGAGACTTGAGTGCTAAGAGAGACTAGTATTATGTTTAAGAAGCGGACTGAGTAGGGGATGATTGGTTCGAAGTTTAAATAACTAATATAAGATATTCATGTTCTCTTTATCTGCCAGTGTGTATGTGTGTGTTTGTCCGTCAGTCAGGCAGTTATTCTGTCTATCTGTCTGTCAATCTCTTTTGCTTGCTCTTTTGTCTGCCTTCCTGACACTCCCCACGCCTGTCTGCCTGCCATTCTGTTTGTCCGTCTGTCTATCTGTTTAATTTAAAATTTAATTTCATTTTTTTCTCCTAATTTTTTTAATTTAATTCAGTTTGAAATTGATTTTAAAATAGATTTTAACGTATAAATTTTTTCAAACAACTTCATCTTTTAAAACTCATTCTATACCAGGGGGTTTTCCATCTCCTGACCTCATTGTTTCGTGACCCAATTTTTTTACACAGCCCTCACCTACGTAAACAATTATAGCTCCTATGTTTTTCTAACCAGAATTATGTATTATACATCAAAATAAACAGAAATGAATTTTCTATAGTACTAAATGAAGATAATTGAGGGTTATGTTAAAGAAAGTAGGTTCTTTACCTGTTAAAATGGCGTGTTAGTGTAACAACACATAAAAAATAAACGAATATTTCCTACTTACATAATCAAAGGTCACCAACCACTTACCCAAACTTTGTGAAACTTACACATGTTGTTGGTGATCTATATATACACAACATATCCAAATATAAAAGAAAACACTTGTAAAATAAAAAAGTTATGCACAAAAAACTAAAAAGATTGAAAAGATGAAAACAGGACATTTTTTGTTTACAACTAGCATACTAAGATTTATAGTTACTCTTAGTATGCCAAAGCAGAGCTCCTTACATAAAAATGGTTGACCAGGACAATCTGCACATACATTGCTGGTTCTTTTGCGAGCATCTGGTTTACTACAGACCTGACAATTACGGTCTTTTTTAGCCGACATAGGGATATGTAATATAGCGGCTAGCCGAATGGTTGGATTGTCAGTAACCAAATTCACACTTGGCTGTGGTTGCTGGGCTAGGGCAATATCCACAGGTTTCTCAACAAGTGATCTACCAGCTTCAGCTATAAGTTGAACAATCAAGTTGGTCTTGAACTGAGCTAGACTGATCTTCGCTTGCTCGGGGTGAGACTCACACGAAATAAAATCGCAGCGTCGACATGGCAGATTTCCAACAGCCAGTGAAATATTTTTTCCACCACTTGTGGCTTTTTCTTTTGTGGCAGCCATAGTAGCCAACTAGCTGATCTGCTCTATCACAACCATTCATATTTTGAATATATAAATCTATGGTTGTTGGTTTTTCGACGTCACCATGTTTGGTTTTAATTAGTGTTTTGCTAACACTTCCTTGACTGGTCACAACTGACACAAACCTTTTAGCCTTTTTATCCCTAAATGCCACTGTAAGGTACTTGTCTTCATGCATGTACCACTTCATCTCCATATGGCTCAAGACAAGAGACTTGAGTGCGGGAGGGAGATTTTTCCGTCTTCTGTCGACCGTGCCAGTATAATAATGTTTCTGACGGCTGGGAAACTCAAGCAGAGTTACAGAGGTGTAAAAACCTATCTGCAAAAATATGGTGGCCTTTTGTTAGTGGTGTCAACAATTTTTGAAAAACCTTTTCAGCCATGGTACAATTTTTGTCTAGGTCTGGATTATAAGCAGTCGCAGAACCGTAGTACGTAAATAAATTTACGACATACCCAGTCTTACTGTCGCACAAGCCAAATGCTTTTATATGATATTTAAAAGGCTTTGTGACATTGAACTGTTTGTTCTTCCACCTTCCCTTATATCCAATGACCATTTCATCGACAGATAAATTAAGACCGGGGTAAAATGCATCTTGGAATGATGCCATCGATGTATTGAGAAAGGGCTCAATTTTATCTTGCGACTCTGCCTTGTCACCAGCCGCATGTAAAAATATGTGGTAAAGGGCCTGAAATCTGTTTCTGGCCATGGTTAGTCCATACCAATGTGTAAAAAGGTGGGCTTCTTTTGCAGACCAGTAGCTTTTTATTGAAGGCCTAGGGTTGAGGCCCATAGCTATCAAAATAGCAAAAAATTTCAACAACTCTGGTCTCGTTACTGGTTGAAATTCGTAGTACACTGAATGCCTGAGCTGAGGAAACACTAATTTTCCCCTAGCATATTCATTGATATTAGCTAATAATAGCTCAATCATCTGGTCATTCAATAAAGTGAGCAGGCAATCTAGCTCAGTTGACTCGGGTGTTATTTTATCCGAGTTTACGCCATGGGATTCGTGGCGAACAAAACGAAAGTTGTTTTGCGTTGTACCTTTATCTACTTCTGCCCAAATAAAATTAGTACTACTAGTGGTAGTAGCAGTACCACTGACAGTTACAGGCTCATCCTGTCCTGTTACAAAAGTATTAGTACTAGCAGTATTAGTACCAGCTTTCCTTTTTTTAGGCACGGGTCCCTTACCCTTCCTTGCAGAAGGTTTGCCACACCCACTTTTGTTGTTATCACAATCACTATCAGTATCACCACTACTACCAGATCTATCACTCTCACTGCTTGATGAATAATTATTATCCTCATCAGATGATAAAACCGATGTTTCTTCATCTGAATCTATATTATTCATCCACTCATCAAGCATAACGCGTGCTTAACTACTAGTGGTAGTAGCAGTACCACTGACAGTTACAGGCTCATCCTGTCCTGTGTAATGACCGCCCTCCGACAGCCGCGGAGGGAGCGGACACCCCGGGTTCGTTTGGGATGGCACTGACAGAAGTCACACTATGGAATCCCAACAACTTGACGTGAGCTCGTTATTGATGTCTAGGGGTAAAACACGATAAATTGAAGAGACTCAACACGACTTAAAACTGTTAATACCCTTTTAATAAGTGTACAAGACTACGACACTAGGTTTGTACAAAATGTACAGACTTTAAGAGTACAGTAAATAAACTCAAAACTCCAACTTATAGTTAAAGAAAATCACAATATATCACAGCTGTGGCTTAGTATATTAAACACCATTAAAGAACATTATTTGACACAACTGAATGGCATTGTAAATTACCACAAAAATCAAGAAGAGACATATTGCCTCTACTACAATAGAAATCCAAACAAGGTCAACTATCACCGATGTAACAAAGGGTGCAATAATACACCAGAACAAAATATCAGTAATACAACTTGTCACATAATACCTTATACAAAGGTGATAAAACATGTCACAAAACTACACTACTGAAAAATGGCGCCCAAACATACGGCAACATCTCTCTCCTATCCAAAGGTCAATCTGGCTACCTTTAAACTTGAAATGCCCGAGATTAAATACAACTCAGGATCAGGGGAGATCACTCACAAGTCCTACGACTATTAGTTGAAGATCTGTTAAGGATCCTCACGGTCGCAAGATCATTGGTCCAGGGTCTGCTAGGGAGTAAACAATGCATTCACATGACGTGACGGAGTTCAGTTGACCGATGCGTACCGGTGAACTAACAATTCTCCCAAGGTCAAATACATAACTCAGGAGACTAAATATAAATAAAGCAAAAAGACCTAAGTAGGTCACACCTGTTACATTAGTATTAGTACTAGCAGTATTAGTACCAGCTTTCATTTTTTTTAGGCATGGGTCCCTTACCCTTCCTTGCTGAAGGTTTGCCACTCCCACTTTTGTTGTTATCACAATCACTATCAGTATCACCACTACTACCAGATCTATCACTCTCACTGCTTGATGAATAATTATTATCTTCATCAGATGATAAAACCGATGTTTCTTCATCTGAATCTATATTATTCATCCACTCATCAAGCATAACGCGTGCTTTTTCAGCACAAAATCGCTTGAGTGGGTGTTGGCCTGATGGACCTGATTCCATAATGAATTTTTATTATTTGATTTTTTATCTACAACATATTTTAACTATTAAAAAATCAATCTTTGAAACACAAGATTTAAAAAATAAAAATCAAAATAATGCAATGTAAATTTTGAAGGATAGAAAAAGATTGGCACTAAACACAAAATTGTTGTTTTTAACCCTCATGACACCATTAACGACAACCCAAATCTACCACATTCAATATGCCACACAACCCAATCCACCGATATAAACGTGACTCAAACCATACAACACACATCAAAGCTAATTCCACTTATCCCAGGATAGCTAGAAGCAGAGACGAACAAAAAACAGCAAAAATTTTGAGGCCTTAAAAATTGTATTTATTTTTGCTCTAATTTTATTAAAGAAAACAGAAGTTAATTATTTTTTAACATTGACATAACGTACTATAACAATAAAACAGTTTTCCCTTATGCATAATCTAGTCTTCAAGGAACGCCAAAGCTTCAATTCATGTCATAATGAATTCAATGCTCACAATAGCCAGCTCTAAATCAAAAACGAAAATACATAAATGTGTGCATATAAATATATGGATATGGATAAATAAATAAATAAATAAATAAATATATATATATATATATATATATATATATATATATATATATATATATATATATATAATTACGAAGTTAAAATATAAATAAATATAATATACATATATATATATATATATATATATATATATATATATATATATATATATATATATATATATATATATATATATATATATATATATATATATATATATTAATATATATATATATATATTAATATATATATATATATATATATATATATATATATATATATATATATATATACATATATATATATATAAATATATATATATATATGTATATTATATTTATTTATATTTTAACTTCGTAATTATATGACTACCTCTATGACTATGTCTATGTCTATATTATTAGTTTCATGCCTCATGTATCATGCCTTATGTCTCATGTCTCATGTCTCATGTCTCATGTCTCATGTCTCATGTCTCATGTCTCATGTCTCATGTCTCATGTCTCATGTCTCATGTCTCATGTCTCATGTCTCATGTCTCATGTCTCATGTCTCATGTCTCATGTCTCATGTCTCATGTCTCATGTCTCATGTCTCATGTCTCATGTCTCATGTCTCATGTCTCATGTCTCATGTCTCATGTCTCATGTCTCATGTCTCATGTCTCATGTCTCATGTCTCATGTCTCATGTCTCATGTCTCATGTCTCATGTCTCATGTCTCATGTCTCATGTCTCATGTCTCATGTCTCATGTCTCATGTCTCATGTCTCATGTCTCATGTCTCATGTCTCATGTCTCATGTCTCATGTCTCATGTCTCATGTCTCATGTCTCATGTCTCATGTCTCATGTCTCATGTCTCATGTCTCATGTCTTAAGTCTCATGTCCCATGTATCATGTCTCATGTCTCATGTCTCATGTCTCATGTCTCATATCTCATGTCTCATGTCTCATGTCTCATGTCTCATGTCTCATGTCTTTTGTCTTAATTCATATTTCTCATTTCTTGTGTCTATTTTCTATGTGTACGTGTACGTGTACGTGTACGTGTACGTGTACGTGTACGTGTACGTGTACGTGTACGTGTACGTGTACGTGTACGTGTACGTGTACGTGTACGTGTACGTGTACGTGTACGTGTACGTGTACGTGTACGTGTACGTGTACGTGTACGTGTACATGTTTATGGTTAAGTAGATGGATATTATTATTGCTTTTATTTTGTATTGTATTTGGAGTTTGTTTTTCTGATTATATTTCTTGTAGCCGTGTGTGTGCACAAAGTGGATGTTGTGTGGTTGAAAACTCGAAATTTAGACTAGTCTGCTGAGGCGATGCGTCGTTGAGTGACATAGCGTTTTGCCCACTGAAACACGTTAACTGAGGACGTTTATTTTAATTCTTCTAAAGTGCTAACGTCGAGAATTTATTGATATATGTATATATATATATATATATATATATATATATATATATATATATATATATATATATATATATATATATATATATTTCAAGTATAGCATCTTGTAATAATTGATGTTATTTCTTGGATCGATATTGTATTTCTAGGCAAAAATAGTTCTGACATTATGCCTATATAACGCCCAGATGGGGATATTTTGTTGTGTTTGACACAGACTCGATATTCAATTCTGTTTGATAAAGGATTAGTATTTCATTATGTTTAAAACCATCTTTAGAGTTTGTTCTTTTCTATGAATTCGCTAATTGGATTTCTTCTATGATTTTTCACTTATCTTTTGCTATTTGTTTTCAGATTGCTTTGTATGATTGGGTGTTTTTTTTAGTTGTTCTCTTGTTGTTTTTTTTATAAATTGATTACATGTTAGTTGTAGTATCCAGTTGTAAATGTGTTGATATTATTCCCTAGTTAGATTTATGTAAATAGTTTAATCTATATATGTGCTTGTGTGTGTTTGTATGAGTGTTTTGAGTCAAAACATTTTTTTAAAAAGTTTACAAGCATCTCAGCCTTGGTGGGCAGCATTTGCCGTGTAAACCTCCACACTTCCATAGCGCTTTTTGGCATCTGTAAATAAAGAAATTTGATTTTTGTAGCATTAGTAAAGCATGTGCAATAGACATTTAGGCTGAGGCTAGTATGATACTATCTGAATCATTTTTCTTATGTAAACATACGCAGCTACAAAAAAAATTAATCAATTATCAAAACAATTTACTAATTACGTCGTTTGAATGCTAATTACTGCTAATCATTGCTAATTATTGTTTACTATGAGTGCAAATTGTATTTACACTTTATTTATTCTCTGGCTTTAAAGTGTCGTCAACATGAACCTGGTCTTTCAAATTATTTGATGTAAAAAATTCTCAGGAATAACAAGGTCAAACATAATTTGATTTCTATTTTCAATAGTAAAATAATAAGTGCTTTAATTGTTCTAAAAATTTTTTTATAAAAATTATTATTTACCTACAATATCTCATTATTAAAAAATCAATATTTGAAACGCATGTTAAAAAGTTATTAAAGAAGATAGCACCTACTTGCTATTTATGCCACCTAGTTCATGCCGATCGATATTCCAAAGATAACCTAACCATGCCACTAGGTTGTCTTCCGGGTTGTATTGATAGATGGGTACAAAGTAAGCTATATGAAAACACCAACAGTTGTAAGAACATTGATCATGGTAGTTTCAAACATAACCAAATCATATAACTTGTTTGTGTAGCGGTTTGTATTAATAAAGCCGTACACAGTGCCATAGCGAGGTCGGGTGTCGCCCGGTGCGGCATTCAATTTTATGACACCCACCCATACCCATACCCATACCCATGCCAATACTCATACCCATACCCATACCCATACCCATACCCATACCCATACCCATACCCATACCCATACCCATACCCAAACACATACACATACACATACACATACACATACACATACACATACACATACACATACACATACACATACACATACACATACACATACACATACACATACACATACACATACACATACACATACACATACACATACACATACACATACACATACACATACACATACACATACACATACACATACACATACACATACACATACACATACACATACACATACACATACACATACACATACACATACACATACACATACACATACACATACACATACACATACACATACACATACACATACACACACACACACACACACACACACACACACACACACACATACACATACACATACACATACACATACACATACACATACACATACACATACACATACATTTTTACCCCTCCCCACCCCACCCCCCACCCCACCCCAATGCGACGACTTTAAACTGTGCCCAGTTATAACACTAACGACTTTTAAAAAGGTCGATGAGGTCTTATAAACTTTACAAAGCTATGTTTCTATTTGGTTTTAGTATCGTCACTTAGTATTTTTATTCCACTACTAAATTCTATAACAAAAATATTATTGTATTACTATTGTCAATTTTTAAATTGATACTCTTGTTTTCTGAATTAAAAAATCCCTGAAAATATCATTTTCTAATGCTAGTGATACGGTAAAAAATGTATTTTTCTCACCTTCAGACCTCATGCTAAAAATGACTGCCAAAATCAGAAATAAACTTGTCGATATTTTCATTTTGTCAACTATTTTTTTCTCTCACTGTAATCAGTAGCGACCTCTTCAGTGTTCTGATGGTTACAATGTCCAGGTCAACAACAAGTGTCTACCTGCAGTGCTCTCTCTCAAGGTATTTAAGGTATGACGCGCGAGTTAAGAGAGTTCAGTTAAATGTTTGGGAAGCGGATTACGCTGATTGGGTTGGAGGCGGGAGTTGGGATAGAGGGGGGGGGGGGATAAATGGTTAAGCGTGATGGATGATAGATTCGGAGTGTAAGATATAAAAAGTCTGTCTGCCTGCCTGCCTGCCTGCGGGTCTTACTGGCTGCCAGCCTGCCTGCTTGCCTGCCTGCCTGCCTGCCTATCTGTCTGCCTGCCTGCCTGCCTGCCTATCTGTCTGCCTGTCTGTCTGTCTGTCTGTCTGTCTGTCTGTCTGTCTGTCTGTCTGTCTGTCTGTCTGTCTGTCTGTCTGTCTGTCTGTCTGTCTGTCTGTCCATCCACACATCTTTGTTTGCCTGTTGAGTTAAGCTGATCGACCTAGGATCTGAATTTAATTTACTTCTTCTTTTAATCTATTCTCTTGATGTTTTTTTTAATATAGTTCGTTGTTCTAATTGCAATTTATAGTTTACAATCCAAAAATGTTCGGTTGCACAAGGCGCAAGTTAAGGCCCCTGTTTCAGTTTAGTCATTGAATGTAGTGTCCTACTATTTCCCTATTTAATGGTGCTCTTGAAATTTAACATGAACATAAGCGCCATGGTGATTTACATAGAAGACGGCCTGCTGAAAATCACACGACCACTAGCATGCAAGCTGACGCGCCTGTCTCCATTAAGTCTAAGATTATTTTTAGTTAAACAAATATCTGTTAATGTTAATGCTTTAGTGCGATTACTTTACTCGGTATACGTGTAAGTTAAAAGGACAATTACATTAATATAAATTTTCCTCACGGCATACTTATAGAACACACTCCAAAGAAAACCAAACATTATCCCGCCCCACATATAAATCAAACCCCCAACCACCTCACATTAAAACTCCATTCACTTAGCTACTCTACCATACGTTTGAAAGCAATACGACACCCGCATAGCCCACGAAACCCAATTAATGGAATATTTTACACCATATAGGTCATTTCTCTTTATCCCACCCCAAGAAACATATACACCACAAATACAGAGTACACCAAACGACACACCAAACCAGTTTACACCCCAAACATTACCCACCTACAAGAACAACACAATGAACCGCACCACGAACCCTACCCCATCTTACCCCGCCCCATGCCCATGTGTTGAATGAATGGCTGAGAAACCAGAAACAAATCTTATTGGCCCACGAGGAAACAGTGAAAGACAAACACGAATTCCTAAGTCCTCGCATAATCCACACCAGTGCCAACAAAACTAATACTCGGATAAAATATTGTGCAGTACAAAAGTACAAAACACAACCAAAGGAATCAATGTATTATTCATTTAATATCTTTAAACAAAGATCATTATATATATATATATATATATATATATATATATATATATATATATATATATATATATATATATATATATATATATATATCAAGTACTAATAATATTATGCACATCTTTATTTGGCCTTCACTTGGTGCGCAATTCTTTTTTCTACGAGATTTTATTCTATTTTAAAAAGTTTAAGTATTTAAAATGGATTAAAATTCATGTCTATATCCTGAGTTCCCATCCCCTGTTTTTTTATATAAGAATTTTCGAGAAAGTTTAGGGGAGATCTTTCCCGGTTTATTTTAGTAGAGTTGCATGGTTTTTAGTAGAGTTGCATGGTTAGAACTATTGCGCACCTAATGAACATGTTAAGGCGCCTATAATAGTACGGAATAGTTGGATAGGAGTGCGAATCAATTTACGAAAAGTTGAATTAATTCGTTTAAAATTAAAGATTCATTTAATTAAGAAAAATGTAATGTCATATGCATAGTCTTCAAGTCCTGACTCAGGCGCCAACATTGAAACGAATCTGTCAGTTAGAAGAGCCAGAAATTTCGCTCGGCTGTTTTGATCCAAGTCGACTGCAGACAAACAGAGAAAGCAAGTTAAATAAAAGCTTGTAAAACACAACTGTTATACATGAGTGAGATTAGTCGCCCATTTGCAATATCAGCATTGTTTCCCTGGTTGTGTGGTAAATACATTATTTTGTATGGATCGTGTGTTTAGTGGGTGTAGTGTTGATTGCGGGAAGATATCCGGGGTTTTTCGGCTCGGTGGGTGGGTGTAGTGTTGATTGCGGGAAGATATCCGGGGTTTTTCGGCTCGGTGGGTGGGTGTAGTGTTGATTGCGGGAAGATATCCGGGGTTTTTCGGCTCGGTGGGTGGGTGTAGTGTTGATTGCGGGAAGCTATCCGGGGTTTTTCGGCTCGGTGTTTGGGGCTCGGGATGAAGTTAATATTTTGGTGTAGGCACAAGCGAGCTTTTTCACATAGTTATATTTTGGTATTTCCATTTTTACAAGAAGTTTTAACCTAAACACCGAAGCGTGCAAGTCACGTGTCACTTTAAAACTTGCCATAACAGCTAAACTGTTCCTTGGCGTTCCTTGGTGTTTTCTAACATAACAACAAAACTATATTTATTGATTTTACCAGCTGTTTAAAGTTTAATACATGAGAGTAAATTAGATCAGATGTACTCAATTTTAGGATTATAGTAAACCAATGGAGCTTAAGTAATTGATTATTGAGCTCGACTTGAATCAGCCCTCTTTGATTCGCCTATCTTACACACGTGTTATCTCCTCATTTCTACCATTTATTTTGAGAACAAAGTTATAATCAGCTGAGATTTTATTTAAAAAACGAGTCATTAGCATAGTATAAGACTACACAGTGTGTCATGGCATACAAGACTACACACTCAGTCCTGATGTAGGTCTACACGCTGTGTCATTGTGTTGCCCTACACACTACGTAATGGAGAAGGCCACACTTTTTAAAATTAAAGCTGTCTAAAAACATTTCAGATGGTTTTAATAGGTTTTTAGTAATGACAAGGATTGTGTCACAGATAAATTGCTGGGTTTTTCAGTCTTACCCATTATTCACACGTATTCATTTAAATAATAGGGAAATTCAGATAACTCCGATATTCCACATTCTAAACCTATAGTGTAAATTAGTTTAAAAATTTGTAACACAACAACAAGGTAACGGTAACTAAAAAATTCACCTAGATATAAGCCCTAAAATTTATTTTAATACTGTCTATAGCCATAATAGTTTCCTCCACATTTGCTGAAGCCCGTTGAGTTAGCATATGTGTTATCGTCAAGGTTTTGGAGGTTTTGAGTGGGCTGGTGTGGGCTGGTGTGGTATCGTCAATATGTTGGATGTTTTGAGTGGGTTGGTGTGTTATCGTCAGGTGTTTGAGGTTTTGAGTGGGTTGGTGTGGTAAAGTCAAGGTGGAGGTTTTGAGTGGGCTGGTGTGGTAAAGTCAAGGTGTTTGAGGTTTTGAGTGTGCTGGTGTGGTATCGTAAAGATGTTGGAGGTTTTAAGTGGGCTGGTGTGGTATCGTAAAGATGTTGGAGGTTTTGAGTGGGCTGGTGTGGTATCGTAAAGATGTTGGAGGTTTTGAGTGGGCTGGTGTGGTATCGTCAAGGTGTTGTAGGTTTTGAGTGGACTGGTGTGGGCTGGTGTGGGCGGGTGTGGTATCGTCAATATGTTGGATGTTTTGAGTGGGCTGGTGTGATATCGAAAGGTGTTGGAGGTTTTGAGTGGGCTGGTGTGGTAAAGTCATGCATTCTCGAATTAGATGATCATTGAAGCTAGATAAAAATTTATATATAAAAAAATTTAGACCTGAAATAGATTTTAGATTCTAGATGTAGAATTTACATTAAGTCTAGATCTAGAATTTACGTTAGGTCTTGTGACCTAGATCTTTATCTGGATTCATAAAACTTTTTCTTCCTTCGACAGCTGATCTGTAGTTCTAGATCTAGAGAAATTTATTGTATACTAAAATAAAAAGAGCTGTTAAAAAATTGGTAATAGTGTTGAAACCTAATAAAAATAGCAAACGGACGAATGGTTTAAGCTATAGCCGACAGAAAAATAGCTTTATAATGCGTTAAATTGTTGAATGGGCAACAAAATCTTCGACGGAAGCCGAAATTATTGTTGTAAAAAGTAAATAATTCAAGTGATGTAACTGTAAATGAAGTCATTGTTCTGAATTTTTATAATTAATGTGGTTAACTACCAATAAATATATCAATAAATTAACTAATTTCTTTAAATTTTTTTTGTGATTGACAGTCTGTCTAAAACAAAAATTGTTCTCTACCTAAATACTATTTTACAGCTCTACACATAGTGCAGATTCTCTCATGTAACCAAACGGACAAACAAAAAAACAAAAGAACAAAAAAATATTCAAACATGTAAACTAACTTGAATTTTAGGAGTATGAGGTCATCCATAAATGACGTCACGCTTTTTTGGACGATTTTTTACCTCCCCCCCCCCTTCCCCCCTGCGTCACACATCGTCACAAAAAGCCAGACCCCCCCCCCCCCTAAAATAACGTCATGCCTAAGTCAACGACCCGCCTCAAAATTGCAGTTGAGTTTTTCTTAAAACATCGATATTTTTCCGAAATCTTGTCTGAACTCTGTCAACATAGAGTATGTTGATCAATTTCTATTACAATTTATTAAAACAGTTTTCTAAAAAGGGAATTAACGGCTAAAATTCGTTTTCTTACATTACTTTTTGTTAATGCAAAAATGTGACGCCCCACCATCTGACCCCCCCCCCCTCCCATTATCACACACCATCACAAAATTACGGACCCCCCTCCTCCCCCTACCACTGTGACGTCATTTATGGACGACCCATATATACATAAATGTAAAAATTGTTAGCAATACTAAGATCAAGAAGATTGTTTTTATCCGATAATTGACTAAGTAGTGTATAATTGGTCTGATATTATTTAAATACAAAACAGATAAATTAGTTGTTGACCAACAGCATATTTTAACTATTAAAAAAAAACTTTGAAACACAAATTTGAAAATTAAAGTTTATTAAAGAAGATAGCACCTACTTGCTTTGGATGCCCAATAATGGATGACCACCTTTCTTCAAAGGATGAGGTAACCTTTTCATTTGTTTGGGTGTCTGGTAGTGTTTAGTGTTTAATAAATATAAAGCTGTATGGAAACACGAAAGTTTGTTAGCACTTAAACTTTTTTAAAAATGTTTTCCTTCATTTAAGTTTTGATAAAGCACCTGATTTAAGAGTAAAAAACTGTTCAACGTATTGTATTTATAAGCTAACGAGCTGATAAAAAGTGAGATAATGCGCAGTTAAATACTAAGATAATAGCTATATAAGTAGTGAGGTAAGTGGCTAATAAATACTGACGTAAAAGACTCAAAAGAATTGAGGAAAAAGACTGAAAAAAAATTCCTATCTTCTTGAAGGTTGTGAGGTAAATGTTTGATAAACAATAAGATTGTCTTAAGAATCGTGAGGTAAGTAGCTGACCCTTCAAACATAAATTACAAAACGATTTAAAATTATCTTTAAAATAAAAACGCTGAAAAACGTAGAACATTTTATATAACGAGCCGACCCGCGGTGTATCATACGCCGCTATTTAGTTGTTGTTTTTTCTACTTTTCAGTAATTCATAATTTGTGAATTCGAACGTACCAATGATGCCACTGAAAATATTTGCTTTAACCCCCCCCCCCCCCCCCGTGAAAGCAGCCTCCTCTTAGTTACCTCCTCTAAGTTTAAAATCGTTTCAAACTAAATTATCCGCCCCTAATAGCCGTCACCAAACCCGGCTCTATTATTGTTTTGTAAACATTTAGCGTGAACCACAGCTCACCAGACCATGTGAGGGGGGGGTGGGGGTGGTAGCGATAGAGAGGAAGAGAGGGGACTGCAAGGCGCGCTTGCAGCTTGTTTTCTAACGCCTCCCAGAAGAGAATTATATATATACGAGCCGACCGGCAGCGTATCATACACAGCTATTTAGTTGTTTTATTTTCTACTTTTCAGTAATTCATAATTTGTGAATTCGACAGTACCAATGATGCCACTGAAAATATTTGCTTTAAAACACTAACCCCCCCCCCCCTTTCCCCTAACCCCGACCCTACACCCCCCAGCCCCCGTGAAAGCAGCCTCCTCTTAGTTATTTCTTAGTTACCTCCTGTAAGTTTAAAATCGAACTAAATTATCTGCCCCTAATAGAAACCCCGCTATACGGCTCTACGATTGGTAAACATTTAGCTTTGTAAACATTTGCGTGACAACAGCTCACCAGACAATGTGGGGGTGGGGTGGGGGTGGTAGTGATAGTGATAGAGAGAAAGAGAGGGGACTGCAAGGATGCGCTTGCAGCTTGTTTTCTAACGGCTCCCAGAAGAGAATTATATATATAGATATATATATATATAGATCTTCACAATAACATGTTTCAATTTAATTTTAGTCGAATAACAATCGTTTAGTATTTTTACTCTCCGTATACAAAGTAGCGCATATAGAGGAAGTGTTTTAATCGTGTATACATATTAAATGACATTTTGACATATTTGCCGTATCACATCTCCCTACTTTTTTTGTAAACGGAATATAAAGTATGTGAATAATCTAAATTGAGATTTTTTTTTAATAATCTTTCGGAGCCATACGATATTTTTTTTAATGAAATCCTGCCCGTACCGTTTACGTTAGGTGGATAAAACTTTACATTTGATTAAGTATTCGATTATTTGTGCAATTCTCTATCAAATTTAGAAACACAATAACCTAAGTACTCTTTCACTGATGCTAACGAAATTTCATAATTAATTATAAAAACTTATACTTGGATAACTCATTTTTTGAGTACCACCGATATCCGGAAGCAGTACTTTAATCTATTTCTGGTTTCTTAAATACCGATAACTTTTGTACCGATTCATTTAGCTGGACGAATCCATACAGAGTCATATGATTGTATTCAAAGTTTGAGTTATTGCTGGTGAAAGGAGTACACATTTTTGTTATTTTTGATTTTAAAAAAAAAAATGTATTCACAGTTTTCTTGACAAAATACTACGTTTGCGCTTCGGCATCAACATCATCATCTTCTCCCATTCATGCCCAAGACACATGGGGTAGATGAAGTAGAATTCATCTGTTTTAATAACTTCAGTGTATGAAAGGATAATGTGGTCAGCACTATGCCCAGCCGCCTTTGTTTTCCCAACTTGAGTTAGGTAGACTCAGGGACATTCTACTCACTTGAAACCGGATTCGAGCTCGAGACTTTCGGGTTAGCAATCTAGCTCTCTACCGCTCTAACATCCCATTGCGATTTCATTGAAAGTGTCAACCCCCTTACTTTGTAAAAGAAAAGGTTTTTTCACAGAGGCCAGTGCAGGGCTTGGCCCGGACGGCTATTTCTATTCTAATTTGAACAATTAGATTATTTTTAAAAAAACCCAGAAAGCATCAAACATTTTATTTATCCGAGTGCATTGAATGTCCCTTTCACCTTCTTATTGTATCTAATATATAAAGCTCAATTCTGTATGTATCTTCGTAATAAGTTTGTCGTGGATACTTCGTTGGATTTGAGTGTTAGATAATTAAAGCGCTCATGGCCTAAATGCATGGTTTAAAAAATTAATATTTAAAGTGTTGGGAAATAGTTTTTATTTTTCAAACTGATAGTAATAATTGTCGGCATGTTCATTAAACACCATTTTTAAAAAATATCATCTTTTACAAAAAATCTAATTATGTCTGAAAATTATTTATATTTATCTCTTTAGCACTTACTTCCCTTTGATAAATAAGAAATACAATTACTTCCCTTTATAAAACAATGAATTAGTGGAAAAGAATTTACTTTTTATTACTTTGTTTTGGTGTTGGGGACAAAAATAATTACATAATTAGCGGGGATTGATCAATTGCAAATGTTTTAGGTATTTTTAACACTGCCTTTTATTTATTCTATACACTGAGCTTATCGTTTACTAATTATTTTTTTAAATCAATAACAATTAATAAGCCAGGTCCTACATGTCCTATATGTTTATTTCTTTCCATTTACGGATAAGCTTGGAGTATTATAATTGTTCATTAAATTGAAACAGTCGCGTCCGCCGGTGCCCCACCAGGGTTCAATTTGGCGCCCTGGGCTATTCTGTGAGCGCTATGGTGCATAATTTCGCTTTAAACAGTGCGATAGAGTATGGATAAGAAAGGTTACTATAGTCTTTAAGTGAATCGAATCCGGGCGTCCTCTGGCGCCTAGACAGGGTGCTATTTGGGGCCCCGGGCCTCCCGTGTTTGGTTTGGCACCTATGTTCGTTTAAGTGAGTGCAAAAGACTATGAATAAGTTGGTCCTTTATTAAGCTGAAACAGGCGATTCCACCGGCGCCCCAGCATGGTGCGATTTGGCGCCCCGGGCTAGACTGTGAGCACTTTGCGCTTATCTTCGAGTTTGTGTTTTGTTTGTGTTTAGGTTGGGTTTGCGTTAGTGGTTAGGTTTGCGTTTTGATATTGTTCGTTTTCGTTCTTTCTTTTTCGTTTTCGTTTGTGTTTTTTTTTGTGTTTGTGTTATCGTTTGTATTAGTGTTTGCGTTTATGTTATGTTTCCTTTCTTTATTTGTGTTTTAGTTTTGGTTGGTTGTGGTTAGGCTGGGAAATGCCGGGTATATGCTGATTACTAAACACACATGTCATGTTTCTTTACAGATAGGTTTCAGAAAGCTCTTTTATAGACACCTGCACCAAACTAAAAGAAGATATACAATTTTATATAATACTAGCCGTCCCGGTTTGTGTTGTGTTTTGTTTGAGTTGTGTTGTGTTGTGTTGTGTTGTGTTTTGTTTTGTTTTGTTTTGTTTTGTTTTGTTTTGTTTTGTTTTGTTTTGTTTTGTTTTGTTTTGTTTTGTTTTGTTTTGTTTTGTTTTGTTTTGTTTGTGTTGTGATTGTGATTGTGTTTGTGTTTGTGTTTGTGTTTGTGTTTGTGTTGTGGTTGTGTTGTGTTGTGTTTGTGTTGTGTTTGTTTGTGTTATGTTCGCGGTTCTTTTTTGTGTGTTTTGGTTTTGGTTGATTGTGGTTAGGTTGGGCAATTCCGGATATATGCTGATTACAAAACACACATGTCATGGTCCTTTACAGATAGGTTTTTCACAGAGGCCAGAGCAGGGCCTGGCCGGGACGGCTAGTAGAATATACAAAAGCTTTAGGAAAGATCACTGTCGCTTTATTATATTCTGTAACTTCCCCTGCGTGTTTACGTTTTGTCAATTTTTAAATAGGTACTCTTTTTGTTTTGTGAAAATAAAAAAAAACCCTGACAAAATCAGTTTATAACGTTATTGGTAAGTGAAAACAATATATTTCTCACCTTCAGACTCCATAATTAAAGCGACCACCAAAATCAGAAATAAGCTTGTATATATTTTCATTATGTCAACTGTTTTTCTCCCTGTAATTACTAGCGACGTCCTTCAGTGTGATCTGATGACCAGAATGTCCACGTCAACATATGTCGACCTGCGGTGCTCAATTTCAAGGTGTTCCTCACAATGAGACGTGCTCGTTAGTCGAGACTAGTAATATGTTCTGGAAGCACAATACGATGAAAGGGGGGGGGGGGGGGTTGTAAGTATAATGTAAAAATATAAAGATATTCATGTTCTTTAACTCAGTGTGTATATGACAGTATCAGTCAGTTAGTCTTTCTGTTTGTCTATCTTTTTGTCCGTCTCCTTTCCATTCGTCCGTCTCTTTACCTGCCATTCTGTCTGTCGTTCCATGTGTTTGTCCGCTTGTTCGTGTGTCTGTCTGTCTGGTCTGATCTGACATTCTGTTGTCTGTTTGTCTATCACTCTGTCTGACTATTACTCTGCTCGTCTGTCTGTTTCCCTACTTATATGTTTGTCGGTCTTTTTGTATCTTTGTTTGTCTGTCTAGCTTTATGTTTGTCCCTCTGTCTAGCTCTCTGTCTGTCTAGCTGTTTCTCTTTTTCTCCGTATGTTTGACAATGTTAAGCTGGTCGAACTAGCATCTAATTTAAAATTTAATTTAGATTCTTTTAAACTCTTGGATATAATTTTCTTCAAATTGGTTTTTGAAATCTTTTACCGTAGAAATATTTTAAACACATTGTTCGCTTTAAAAACAATTTATAGTTGACAGACTAAAAAATCCATTGCACAGGGGCACCATTTACGGTTTATTTTCATTCCTCGTGCTTAATGCTTCTTTCTGCAGTGTTAATGGGTCAAAATTGACGAGCAAACTTTAAATAAGCCGCGAAATTCATACATGTTATTTGTGGGAAACTTCTGCGGCCATTTATAGATATAAACTAGGCTACCCATTATTCTCGAATAACCGTGTGTTTCAGGGGTCCTCTACAGATGACGTCATGTTTATTTGACGTTTTTTTTTATCTTTACCTTCCCACTGTTACACATCTTCACAAAAATTCAGACCCCGCATTCAAAAAGACGTCACACCTCAGGCACCATGTTATCGTCTTTTAAAAACACCTATTTCGGCTGAGCATGGCTCTGACCACACTATCATTTCACATAGGCTGAGCTCACAGAAACACGTAAACTCTACTTCACCTGCCCCTTGTCCAGAGTTTCTTCCAGGAATCTCTTCGGTGTGGGGTTGGGGGGGGGAATAAAATGGAATTTATATAGAAAACATACTTTTACCAGTGTCCGCCCCCAAGGAAAATGTTGTGCCCCCCCCCCCCCCCCGGAGAAAAAAGTATGGAAGAAACAACGCCCGTGAAAAAAAAATTAAGTATCAACCACATGATAACTATTACACTATCAACTCAGCTATCTGGGCACTTCAGATTAGGTGCAAAAGTAGTGGGATAATTTACTTAGAGAGTCCACGTTATAAATTTGAGTTTCGCGCATTATTTTAAATTAATGTGTATCATAAATTAGCCAATTCTATAGCTAAACAACGCTTTATATATAATAATTAAGGCCTGAAATAGCCTAGTATAGAAACTCATTATTGGAATAATTTCTAGATCTAGATAGATCTAGAATAGAATCTACCGCTGGCTTAAGTCTAGTTTTTCCGTAGCTTTTTAATCTAGATAAATAAATCCATTGTATTTGTTAGTTTAACCCATTATAAAGCTAAATTTTCTGTCCGTTAAAGCTTTAACGATACGTCTGTTTACTATTCTTATTAGGTTCCAACACTGTTATCAATTTTCAATAAGATGCGCTGGGCTGTTCTTCTAATTTGACTATGCAATACATTCAAATATATCTACCGATATGTTAAAACCAAAATTAATTAGAAAGAAAAAAAGCAAGAATAAAAACACAATAAATAATTAAGTTTCTTTATTAAACTATTTCAATCCTTAAATATTTGATATACATTTTTGCTGTTTAGCTTCACAGATCACCTTATTTGAGAATACAAGGAATTTATCTAAAGCTACGGATACACTAAGCTTATGTCATTTTTCATCCGTCCGTAGATTGTAGATCTAGCTCTAAATATACTCTAGATCAGGGGTCTCCAGACTTTTCAGTCCGAGGGCCGCATTACCTATCAAATTTCAGTTCGGGGGCCAGTTTCTTCCAGGCATGTCTTTGATTTTTCTGTGCAAAGTTCCTCAGCCATCACCAACAAACGATTTTTCCTTGGACAAAAAGATCTCCGCGGGCCGGATGAGAGGACTTCGCGGGCCGCATCCGGCCCGCGGGCCGTAGTTTGGAGACCCCTGCTCTAGATAAAAAATCTTTGCCAATTATGAGTTTCTTTGCTAAACTATATAATGCCTTCCTTGATTTCTATGAATCTTTGCAATAGAATTATCTAAATTAGGACATAATTTATATTAAAATAATGTTAGCGTAGTTTAATATTCCTAAGCTGGCTATAAGTAAATTATATCCCAAAATTGTTTTCACGCCGGGATAATAGTAAAATATTTTCCATGCGGGTGGTACGGTTTGAGATACATGTCAATTTTCATTTATACTTTCTCGATTATACGAAGTATAGAGAAAGTTGTAATCGTGCAAAAAAAATCGAGATTTTTAAAAATCTCCACGTTTTACACCTCACTGATACGGAAAAACATAATTTTGCAATCTTGTCCGTATGTCTGTGTGTGTGTCTGTCTGTCTGTCTGTGTGTAAACACGGTTACTTGAGTACCGTTACAGCTAGGTTGATGAAATTTCATATATAAGTATTTTATCAAAATCGTAGATTCGTATTAACTTTTGAGCGATTTCCGATAACCGGAAGTGGTACTTTTTCTACTTTGAATTTTTCAAAAGCCTATAACTTGAGTACTATTTCAGATAGATAAATGAAATTTCACATTTAAGTAAAAGATCTAATTCTCTACCTTCTGTCAAATTTTGAGTAATTTCCGTTGACCGGAAGTACTAATTTACGCTATTGCCGATTTCTCAAAAAACCCATGTAAATTTATAAAGTACTAATAATATTGCGCACTATTATGCACATTTTTTTTTGGTGTTCGCTTGGTGCGCAATTATTTTTTCTATGAGATTCTATTCTATTATTAAAAGTTTAAGTAATTAAAAATCATGTCTATATTCCAAGTTATATAAGAATATTCGAGAAAGTTTAGGGGAGATCACTCCCGGTTTATTTTCCTTTTAATTCGCCCTCATAGAAAATGCACAACGTGAAATCACGATACACGCGATAGGTTCTAATTCGTTATTATTAGTTTGACGATAGCATAACCCATTTGTTATTCATATTATGTTCAAACTCAGAACATTTTATAGAAATAAATAGATGTTTTTTTAAGACAGAAATATGTACGCTGAGGTGTGGCTTTATTCTTGTCTTTTCACAGTCCTTAAAACAGACGGGTGTTCAAGGCTCCAGATTTAATATGCAAATTTTTATTAGCAATGGAGTCGGAAGAGTCTTGCTGGCGAGGGCATACCTGTGAATAATGCAGTGGATTCTCCTTCATAAGGGAGCAAAATGTTTTACTTTTTTCTGAAAGCCTGATTTTGACACAAACATGACGCACCATCCGTACAAACGCCAAAGCCGTTTTCCCATTTTAATCATCCAGTTTTTAAAAAAATAATTATTTTCTCGATGATATCTTCAGAAAATAGCAACTTTTCTTTGCTATCATCTGAGTGTTCATATTTCACAAAGGCAAGCAACTGCGAACACGAACTCATGTCTGTTGATTCATCAACTTGAAAAACAAACAATGGTTAAAAACTTGATTTCATTCAAAATAAGTTTTTAACATAATGGACAAGTCTGCTATAAGCCGCTGAATAGCATAATTAGACATCTATATTCGCTGCATATTTACTGCACTGAAATCTCAGGGTTTGATGAGATTTTCCCCTATTGTGCGAGAGTTTTATTTGCTTTTCTAATGCGACATCATATGATGCTTGCACTAATGCTGTGTTTTCTTGGTGAAAACTTACTGCTCGATCAAGTCTCTGACGTTTGCAATTAGCTTCATGCCGACAAAAGAACTCAATATCTTTATTGGTGTGTTCACTGACTTTGTCTCAAAATGAAGTTTTATTTTTGAAGGTTTCATAGACTCATGACTGAGAACAACTTCGCACAGTACGCATTGTTTTTTCTCTATTCAATTTCCACTGATGTTAGTAAAGCCGAAGTTCAGATATTTTTCTAAATATTTATGTTTTTTTTTTCCATTGCTAGGGTTTAGTTTACCCATTGGCGACCCCCAGAAAGCCCCCAGGGGGGTTGCGATCCCCAGTTTTGGAACCCATAATATAGCCTATGGAGTAATGGGACTTATTTTAATCGAGCGATTATTCTAAATTCAGATGTATCAAACTCTGAAATTTTAAGCGTTATCGAGTCATAAAAACTTGGGTTTGCAATTGCATCCGTTTGTGTGTATGTGTCTGTGTCTGTGTCAGTGTGTGTCTTTGTGTACCCTTTGTGATTGTGTTTGCGTCTGTGTTTGCCTTACCTTTGCGTTATGTTTGTGTTTATGATTGTGTTTGTGTTTTGATTTTGGTTGTGATTGATTGTGGTTAGGGTTAATTTTAAAGATAAATTTAGGGTTACGTGTTATTTTCGCAACGTCGATATTTGTATATAGATGTTTAATTGGAATACTAATACATTTCCAAACCCGGGCAGTGCCAGATATATAACGCTGAATAAACACACGTCTCGTTCTTTTAAAGAAAGGTTTTTCGCAAAGGCCAGTGCAAGTCCTGCGCCAGGCGACTAGTACTATACTAATAATATGAACAATTAGATTATAAAAATAATAATACAAACTTTATTTATCCGAGTGCATTGAATGTCCCATCCCTTTTACTGTAGTATGAGAGGTTATAGGGGAGATCACTGTCGCTTTATTATATTGTTACTTTCAGTCTTCTTTTTCTTCTTCTTCGTTCTTTATTTTTAGTGTTGGAGGGGATCGAGCCTTATCTGCCAGAGGGTTTGAACTCGAGACTTTTTCGAATTTATCAACCATTAGCTTTGGCTGACTCGACCACGCCTCCATCACAATTAAGGATACGTGTCAACTGGTTATGCGCATTTGAGGCCATTGACTCCGATATCAGCCTGCTTTTCTTTTTGGATTTGCTTCCATAGCCTTTGTCCAACCAAGAACAAGTTACCAGGCAGCAGTTGTATGGTTTTGGAGTTGTCTCTCCTGGAAGAGCTGCTGTCCCCAGCAGGGTTCGAACTCGATATTTTCGGTTTGGCAACCACGAGCTCTACCGAATCGACCACGCCGACCCCTTTACTTTCAGTAAGCGTATAACTATTTTCAATTTTTAGTTAGGGTGAATCTGTTTTGTAAAAAAAAACTTAAACACATCAGTTGCAAACGTTAACGTTAAGTTGATAATTTATATTTCTCACCTTCAGAGCATGTGGTTATAGTGACTACCAAAAGCAAAAATAAGCTTGCAGATATTTTCATCTTGTGAACTGGTTTTCTCCCTGTAATTACTAGCGACGTCCTTCAGTGTGATCTGATGGTCAGAATGTCCAGGTCAGACATTCTGTTTGTCTATCGGTCTGTCTATCTTTCTGTCTGTCTGTGTTTTTGTCTACGTGTATGTTTTTGTCTTTTTGCCTGTGTGTTTGTCTACCTGTCTCTCGGTCTCATTGTTTCTCTATCTCTCCGTTTGCTTTTCCATGTTAATCTGATCGACCCAGCATCTAATTTCAAATTTAATTTAAGTTATTCTCTTAATCTCGTGAATATCTTTTTTTTACAAGCTTTTATTTAACTCACTTCCTCTGTCTGTCTAGATCGAAACGCCGGAGTGAAAATTCGGAAACTTCTACTTGACCGATACGATTTACATTTGGCACGTGGGTCAAGACATGAAGACAGTGCAATCTGAAATTAAATTTGACTTAATTGGATGCCTAATTAATTTGTTATGAATTAATTAAAATTCGGACCGAATTAGTAGGCATATCTATCCAACCACACCACACGCGTCATCGCGTTCAATAGCTGCGCCATCACGTTCAATGGCTGCGCCATCACGTTCAGTAGGAGCGCAATGGTTTTTAGTCATGTAACTCTATTGTAAATAAAACATGTAAAGTACTGAAAAAAAATTCATAAAAACGTTTTAATAACAAGCTTTTATGTACTAATGCACTAAAAAGTAGAAAATAAATTATAGACTACTATTTAAATAACTAGAAAGAAAAGCGTGGGTAATTTTAGTATCTATTGGATACCTTTACTAATGTTAAGGAAGACCCTCACGTTCAGTAGGCGCGCAATGGTTTTTAGTCATGTAACACTATTGTAAATAAAACATGTAAAGCACTGAAAAAAAAAATTCATAAAAAACGTTTTAATAACAAGCTTTTATGTACTAATGCACTAAAAAGTAGAAAATAAACTATACACTACTATTTAAATTACTATAAAGAAAAGCGTGGGTCTCTTCTCAAATATTAGTAAAGGTATCCAATAGTTAGGCCTACTAAAGTACTAAAGTAACCCACGCTTTTCTTTATAGTAATTTAAATAGTAGTGTATAATTTATTTTCTACTTTTTAGTGATTTAGTACATAAAAGCTTGTTATTAAAACGTTTTTTATGATTTTTTTTTCAATTTTTTTGGAAGGCTTTTATTGTAGAAATGATTTCAGAAACCTTCGTCATTTTAAACACAATTTATAGATGACAAACTAAAAGTCGATTGCACAGGGGCAGCGAAATTTATACATGTTATTTGTGGGAAACTTCTGTGGCCATTTATAAGATTAAAATACATCGTACACCGCAGGGACATACAAATAGATGAATGGTTCAAAGAGACAGACAAGTCAGACAAAACAATATTGTTTTTAGGCCAGGATTGTTAGCATCAGGTAGGATGATTTATTAATTTGTAGGCTCACAAGTTTTGGTCTCACTGAGAGGGAATAGTCAAGGGGATAGGAAGTCGAAATTTCTTGATCAAAGTACAAATTTGATGTTTAATGACACACGAGACAAAGAGACCCGTAACTAAATACACGTTTCATTTGGTACTCTGTCGATTATTTGATCCAGAACTTTAGTGAGTTTAGGTAGTCATATTTTTTTCTGCTCTGTTAATCGGTTTTAATATTTCACTTCTACAATTAGGTGGCTGAGATATGACCTGCACCACAGTAGAATAATCTATTCGAATACAGAAGAAACGTACCACCTCTAGTATCCTTATTCAACTTGCAAGAGAGGAGCATGCATGCACACAGTAGAATAATCTATTCGAATACAGAAGAATTGTACCACCTCTAATATCCTCATTCAGCTTGCAATAGAAGAGCATGCATGCACACATATGCACACGTACCACACGCACAATACACTGACAAACACACCTGCTGAAACGATAACGATGATAAGACAAAAGTCGTTGAACAGAACTAAAGTAGATGATTCAAACGGTCAAGATGAAGTATGTACTGATTGTGTAGAACATGGGTGTGTGCCGTGGATATGTGGCTATTATAAGCATCATACGTATTTTTCTGTGGAAGTTTAGAGGTGATAATAAATGTTTTCGTCATTCTTACTTTCTCGTGCACGAAATATGATAGAAGTATTGTAATCGTGCAAGAGATCGAAATCTTTTCATCAATTTCCGGTAACCGGAAGTAAAAATTATCCTAATGTTGGTTTTTCAAAAGCCTATAACTTGAGTACTGTTTGTGATAGATAGAAGAGATTTTACAGCCCTAAAAATCTGTTTGTATCAAATTTTGAATAATTTCCGGTGACCGGAAATAGGACAACGGTATTTTCGATTTTTTTTCAAAAAAAGCATATGAATTTATATTTAGCTTGATTCCTCTATCTTTTTTTATAAACTACTAATGTTCCACACTATTATATTTGCTGTTCAATTGATGCGTAATTCTTTTTCTTCGAAATTCTTTCTATTTAAAGTATTTGAAAAGTGATTTTTTTTTGTGTAAATGTCTATACCCCGACTGCACTGAAGCTGCCATCCCCATTAGTATTATCCTAATATATATAAAAGCCCATGTGCGCACCTCTGTGTGTGTGTGTGTGTGTGTCCGCAATATTTTTGAGTCTATGTATGTTCAGCGATATACAGAGAACTTAAAGATACGGACTTTTGTTGAAAATAATATGTCGGATGTTTTAAATGTATAAAATAAATTTTATTTAAAGAAGGAAAATAAAAATAAAGGCATATTCGAATATAGAAACACATTTTTAATTATACAACCGGAAAAGTGTTCATTGTTGTGGCAAGAACGCAATAAACAATGACGTCACATGCCACATGTTTAAACTACCGAAAGAACACAAAACTAATGGCGTCATCTTCCGATTTTAGAATGTAAAGAAATAAACTATTTTATTCAAATTTGATTTAGATCTATAAATGTACTTATCTCGACATACGCTATGAAATGTATACAATTTTCTCAGCCGCAAATAATACAGATTTTAAAAATAACATGAATACCATTGAACAGCTGGGTTTTAACGGAATCATTTGTCTGTTAATCAGTGTGTGCATTTAATATGGTGTTGTGTTGACTAATAATGTATATGATTTGGTTTTTCTAATATGTATTGGTAGCCTATTGTCACAGACTGTATAATTAGGTATGTTTATATTATATTGTGTTTTACATGAAGTTGCATGAATGAAGAGTACCTGGTTAGCGGAAGGACTGTCTGAGCGACTCGTCATGTATTTTCCCATGCTTTTGGGTGAGATCGCTCATGTACGTAAGGGGAGAGAATGGACCGTATAAAAGGTAGAGCGAAAGGTGAACGGGGTGCTTGCGCTTGGACTGTGATTGTGAATGTAGGATGTCACTACGTCACTTTGATTCGTGACTGTGATTGTACTTATACCAAATTATACTAGTTGTTTATCTATGGATTTACTAATACAATGGATTCATCATTTCACTGTAGTGTATAAAGTGTAAATAAAGTTATAGTTTCACAACTACTGTTGCTCGTGTGAGTATATTGAAGAACTCACAATAACAACAATGAAGTTCATGTTGTTACACCTATGTTATTTTTAATGTTTCGGATTTTTTGCTATTTAGTTATTTCTATCTTTGTCACTAATATCGTTCAACGTTTAGTAAAGCACATTGCGTTTTGGCCAATTACTATTTTATAAAATATTTTTCTCAATAAAGTATAACATTAAAATACATAGGCTTATAGCTCACGTGTATGGATACCGACAGCTAGTGTAAGAATATTAGAGAAAGTTCAAGGGAGATCACTCCCGCTTTATTTATTCAACGCATCAGTAAATATTTTCTTAATGTTGTTTATTAAAAGAAAGAAGATGTATATAGTTAAAAATAAAGATAAACCAAGTACGAAACAAACCAAAATTGAAAACAATTTATTTCAAATAACTTTTTGAAATTTGTGTGGCCTATTATGTACATTTTAATTGATTTAGCTTTTCGAGCCTACTGTTATTAAAATATATCTATTTTTAGGTATATTAAGTGAAAATATTATTTGACATTGATTCGTTTATAAATCTCGAAACCATTAGCAATACATATATTCATGAAAATTGAAACAAATAAAAACAAATACCCACACGTTTCATGCTTTTTCCTTTCGGCACAATTAACGCCCGTTTTAGCACTTGCTATTGTTTTAATTCAGCCGTCTTCACGTCGTTGCGGGCCCCAGATTTTATTTTATCGGAAAACCTAAAAGCTTCATTGTTGGGTTGTGTTTCTCACTCTGGTCTATTTTTAGAGTTTTGGAAATTCTCGTTCGTTACAATCTCTAGCCCAGGTGTTGCCGGAGTGAGGATAACTTTGTCTCGACCAGCTGCAATGTCTGGCTATACGACTGTATCTACAACGGTGAGCCCGACTAGAACATGGCTGCTAACGTTGGCTTTGTTTATCTCGTTATCTCGTAAGTCTTTTTTTTTACAAAACTAAACTTTGGTTTTAAAATACACGTACTTTATACACGTCGGCATGTTGTCAACATTTGAAGTTAGGCATAGCTATCTATTCCAGACTCAGGGCCGAGCTATATATTTTGCCACCAACACACACACACACATATATATATATATATATACATATATATATATATATATATATATATATATATATATATATATATATATATATATATATATATATATATACAGCAAGTGATAATGCGAGTAACTTCCATCAAAATGTTTTACGTTATGATTTGCTGACTATGGTTTTCTAATACTATACACTATGCACGTGTGATCTCGTTGTCCAGGGTGTATATTGTACAGTATATGATGAGTTTAGTAGAAGAAAGTCACTAAATCGTAGCAGTGATTGCACAGAGAAGATCAGATTTTATTACAATTTTAATACTGTTGTTCTCCTCGTTTCAGATAGGTCTATAGAAGTTGAAGGTAGGTCCGAGTTTATTGTATTTTGTGTGGGTTAAATCTTGTGTGTGGGGGTGGGATGTACGTCATGTGTGGGAGGAGGGTATGGGTATATATATATATATATATATATATATATATATATATATATATATATATATATATATATATATATTGTATGAGAGGGTGTAGGATATATTTTCTGTGTGCTTTGAAATCAAGTGACCTATATTTTAATAAGCACAACACACGTCAGTAGTGTGATTTACGAGTGATCACAATTTACTCATCACAAAACACGTCAGTTGTGTGTTGTTTATTTGTGACAGAACACATTTTACTCATCACAAAACACGACAGTCTGCTCTTCTTAGCTCACACTCAGCACCACTTAGAATTGTGAAAATAGAACTAGTGTTGCTAATTATACGAATTTCCTCAGCTCCTACTACATAATATCAGCCCACAAACTCATTCAAATTACGGATACAACTTATACATAAGTGGTCAGAACAATCTAACGTCTGGATGTGTTTGGGTATGTGTGTGTGTGTGTGTGTGTGTGTCTGTGTGTGTGTGTGCAGGGCGAATGGTGTCTGTGTTTTTATGTGGTCGCGGATGATATCTAACCTTTGGCCTACATCTCTTTTTAGACGTCATTTTAAACGCCCCCCCACCCTCCACCCTCCACCCTCCACAGCGTCACACGTCATCATTGCAAGCCAGGCCCGCTCCTCCCTTACGATAACATCACACCTCAGTCTACATAGTTGCACTTTTTAGTATTGAAAACAAATTTACACTGAGACTGAGCTCAGTCAATATGGAGTACATTTATCAATTTTTATTACAATAAACAAACACCGTCCATTAAAACGCGAAATAGCGGCTAAAATTTAGCTTCGAAAAATATCCCATTTTCTTACACGCCCATACCCTCCACTCACACGCCCATACCCTCCAATCACTTACACGCCCATACCCTCCACCCACTTACACGCCCATACCCTCCACCCACTTACACGCCCATACCCTCCACTTACACGCCCATACCCTCCACCCACTTACACGCCCATACCCTCCACTTACACGCTCATACCCTCCACTCACACGCCCATACCCTCCACCCACTTACACGCCCATACCCTCCACTTACACGCTCATACCCTCCACCCACTTACACGCCCATACCCTCCACTTACACGCTCATACCCTCCACCCACTTACACGCCCATACCCTCCACCCACTTACACGCCCATACCCTCCACCCACTTACACGCCCATACCCTCCACCCACTTACACGCTCATACCCTCCAACCACTTACACGCCCATACCCTCCACCCACTTACACGCCCATACCCTCCACCCACTTACACGCCCATACCCTCCACCCACTTACACGCCCATACCCTCCACCCACTTACACGCCCATACCCTCCACCCACTTACACGCCCATACCCTCCACCCACTCACACGCCCATACCCTCCACCCACTCACACGCCCATACCCTCCACCCACTTACACGCCCATACCCTCCACTTACACGCTCATACCATCCACCCACTTACACACCCATACCCTCCACCCACTTACACACCCATACCCTCCACCCACTTACACACCCATACCCTCCACCCACTTATACGCCCATACCCTCCACCCACTTACACGCCCATACCCTCCACCCACTTACACGCTCATACCCTCCACCCACTTACACTTGCATACCCTCCACCCACTTACACGCCCATACCATCCACTCACACGCCCATACCACCCACCCACTTACACGCCCATACCCTCCAACCACTTACACGCCCATACCCTCCACCCACTTACACGCCCATACCCTCCAATCACTTACACGCCCATACCCTCCAATCACTTACACGCCCATACCACCCACCCACTTACACGCCCATACCCTCCACCCACTTACACGCCCATACCCTCCACTTACACGCCCATACCCTCCACTTACACGCCCATACCACCCACCCACTTACACGCCCATACCCTCCACCCACTTACACGCCCATACCCTCCACCCACTTACACGCCCATACCCTCCAACCACTTACACGCCCATACCCTCCACCCACTTACACGCCCATACCCTCCACCCACTTACACGCCCATACCCTCCACCCACTTACACGCCCATACCCTCCAACCACTTACACGCCCATACCCTCCACCCACTTATACGCCCATACCCTCCACCCACTTACACGCCCATACCCTCCACCCACTTACACGCCCATACCCTCCACCCACTTACACGCCCATACCCTCCAACCACTTACACGCCCATACCCTCCACCCACTTACACGCCCATACCCTCCACCCACTCACACGCCCATACCCTCCACCCACTCACACGCCCATACCCTCCACCCACTTACACGCCCATACCCTCCACTTACACGCTCATACCCTCCACCCACTTACACACCCATACCCTCCACCCACTTACACACCCATACCCTCCACCCACTTACACACCCATACCCTCCACCCACTTATACGCCCATACCCTCCACCCACTTACACGCCCATACCCTCCACCCACTTACACGCCCATACCCTCCACCCACTTACACGCCCATACCCTCCACCCACTTACACGCTCATACCCTCCACCCACTTACACTTGCATACCCTCCACCCACTTACACGCCCATACCCTCCACCCACTTACACGCCCATACCCTCCACCCACTTACACGCCCATACCCTCCACCCACTTACACGCTCATACCCTCCACCCACTTACACTTGCATACCCTCCACCCACTTACACGCCCATACCCTCCACCCACTTACACGCTCATACCCTCCACCCACTTACACTTGCATACCCTCCACCCACTTACACGCCCATACCACCCACCCACTTACACGCTCATACCCTCCAACCACTTACACGCCCATACCCTCCACCCACTTACACGCCCATACCCTCCACTTACACGCCCATACCCTCCAATCACTTACACGCCCATACCACCCACCCACTTACACGCCCATACCCTCCACTTACACGCCCATACCCTCCACTTACACGCCCATACCCTCCACCCACTTACACGCCCATACCCTCCACTTACACGCCCATACCCTCCACTTACACGCCCATACCCTCCACCCACTTACACGCCCATACCCTCCACCCACTTACACGCCCATACCCTCCACTTACACGCCCATACCCTCCACTTACACGCCCATACCATCCAATCACTTACACGCCCATACCCTCCAACCACTTACACGCCCATACCCTCCACCCACTTACACGCCCATACCCTCCACCCACTCACACGCCCATACCCTCCACCCACTTACACGCCCATACCCTCCACCCACTTACACGCCCATACCCTCCACCCACTTACACGCCCATACCCTCCACCCACTTACACGCCCATACCCTCCACCCACTTACACGCCCATACCCTCCACCCACTTACACGCCCATACCCTCCACCCACTTACACGCCCATACCCTCCACCCACTTACACGCCCATACCCTCCACCCACTTACACATGCATACCCTCCACCCACTTACACGCCCATACCCTCCACCCACTTACACGCCCATACCCTCCACCCACTCACACGCCCATACCCTCCACCCACTTATACGCCCATACCCTGAACTTACAATTTTATCAGAAGTCTTATAAAGATTTACCATTGAGAACACGGTATGTAAAACTCACCTTGAAATTTCTACTGCTGCAGACTGCCCACAGAAAGAGAAGAAGTGTAAGGAGAAGTACACACAAGACATTGAAGCACCCTTCAATGAACATCAAAATGAGAAATCTTGCAGGTTGGTCTAGCGATTTCTTTGCTTTCTATTATTTTATATTTTGTATTTTACTGTAGTTTCGCTTCTAAGCCGTCTATGAAATTTTATGATTTAATACTATACTTTCAATAGTCTAATGGACACAATCATGATTTAGTGTTATGCTTGCAGTGATCTAATAGACACAATCATGATTTAATGATATACTCGTAGTAGTATAATGGACACAATCATGATTTAATGTAGTTCTTGCAGTAGTCTAATGGCCACAATCATAACTTAATGCTATACTTTGAGTGAGTAGCTATATGCCCACAATCCTGATTTAATGCTATACTTTGAGTGAGTAGCTATATGCCCACAATCCTGATTTAATGCTATACTTTGAGTGAGTAGCTATAATGCCCACAATCCTGATTTAATGCTATACTTTGAGTGAGTAGCTATAATGCCCACAATCCTGATTTAATGCTATACTCTGAGTGAGTAGCTATAATGCCCACAATCCCACAATCCCACAATCCCACAATCCCACAATCCCACAATCCCACTATCCTGATTTTCCCAGAGTTTTCAACGAGTTCCGCTGGTGTGTGATGGACCTGGAACACTGTCTTAGTGACAAGGTGAAGGACGAGCTGATCCATGAGTACCAGTCTGACCTCCAGAGTTATGGGGTCGAATGTGGTGAGTACAAGTGGTAACTTAGGGGTAACTTAGTGGTAATCAGGTGGTAACTTAGTGGTAACTTAGTGCTAATCAAGTGGTAACTTAGTGGTAATCAGGTGGTAACTTAGTGGTAACTTAGTGGTAATCAGGTGGTAACTTAGTGGTAACTTAGTGGTAACTTAGTGGTAACTTAGTGGTAATCAGGTGGTAACTCAGTGGTAATCAGGTGATAACTTAGTGGTAACTTAGTGGTAATCAGGTGGTAACTTAGTGGTAACTTAGTGGTAACTTAGTGGTAACTTAGTGGTAATCAGGTGGTAACTTAGTGGTAACTTAGTGGTAACTCAGTGGTAATCAGGTGGTAACTTAGTGGTAACTTAATGGTAACTTAGTGGTAACTTAGTAGTAACTTAATGGTAACTTAGTGGTAACTTAGTGGTAACTTAGTTGTAACTTAGTGGTAATCAGGCGGTGGTAAGTACAAGGGGTGGTAGTCTGATGGTGTTAGGTACTAATGGTGGTAGCGTGGTGGTGTTAGTATACAATGTGGTTTATGTTCTCAATATATATATATATATATATATATATATATATATATATATATATATATATATATATATATATATATATATATTTATTTATTTATTTATTTATTTATTTATTTATTTATTTATTTATTTATTTATTTATTTATTTATTTATTTATTTATTTATATTCAGATTGTATAAGTAGGCCAATGTTTTTATGGCCACTAGTCTTAATAATTTTATAATTTTATTTAACAAAACAAGATATCAAATGTTATAGAGAGTGAACATTTTGGAAATGCAAAATAAAATGGCAGTAAAACAAATCAGCACGTCACAGGTTTTCCACAACTACTCTCTGTCAACTAAACAAAGTTTAACTCATTTTTTAAATAATGTGATAGAAACTCGAAATATAACGGCGTGTTGAATTTCTAAAAAAAAAAAAAGAAAAAAAAAAGAAAGATTCATTATGTAAATAATATTTTTTAACTTTTTAAAGTTTTATTCTTCTTCTGGGAAATAATTTTTATAAGGGATTTCTCAGAAAACACAGCTACAATGTCATTGTTAGAAAAAGAGTTAGTTTAAAATTCAGATTAAGGATTAGGGCTTGGGTTAACTATTGGATTAGCCCGATTGGGGATGTGTATTCGATGTTTGGGGGTTATAATTTTATTAGTGTATGTTTTACGTTTAGTTGTGTTAAATTTGTTTCCTTTTGAAGTTTTCTTATATTTATGATCAGAATTAGACGTATCAAAGAAAATGTAAGGAACATGGCAAATACTGTTGCCTTATGTTGTATAATGTCATACTGTGAGAGGTCTGTCCCAAGAACAAACCTACCCAGTATTATTGCAATGTGTTATTGGTGTGTTAATAAACAATTTATTGTGTTTTATTTCAGCAAAAGAAGCGAAACCCCCAGTGACAACAGAACCACGAAACGGTGTGTAGCTGTGACGGTCGATTGTACACGGTTAATGGGGGGGGGGGGGTAGCGTGTTACATCAGGACTAAACTAACAAAGATCTGAGTTCATTGCCATAACGATCGATTATAACGTAATTTCGGGAAATCCCAAAATTTTATTCCATAAAATACCCTGACGTTAAAATAATCAATGGAATTGTGTTTGATTTCCTTTTTTTTTCGTTTTTTTTTCTTTTTAAAGATTTAAAAACAACTAAAACTTGAAGAAATGTGAAAAAAATAAACATCGAATTGATAGAAACATTTTTAAACAATTTGTCATCTAGTGTTGAAAGCCACCAGTCGTTCTCCGTGTATCCATTTCTACATACGATCAACAAGCCAGGTGTTCATTGAAAACTTTAGTCTATAAAAAAATGTTACTTGCACAGTCGGTAGATAAAATGTAATAAATAATGGAAACAGTATTGTGGAAAAGTCATTATAATCTTATATATATATATATATATATTTATTTATTTATTTATATATATATATATATATATATATATATATATATATATATATATATATATATATATATAATATTATATTATTATATTATATTGTATATTAAATATATATATTAAATATATATATATTAAATATATATATATATATATATATATATATATATATATATATATATATATATATATATATATTTAATATATATATACATAATATATATATATATGTATATATATATATATATATATATATATATATATATATATATATATATATATATATATATATATATATAACCGTTGAAAAAATATTCCCAGAATGCACTGATGCCGTGTCTAGGTGTAACAAAAGACTGCTCTATGACCTACGTGAGCTCAGCGGCCCAGGCCAGGAACATGAAGATAAGATTTACTGCGGGTAAGGATATACTTACCTGCTGTCCTGTCTAGCTTTACTATATAGGTGCTAGAGTTACGGAGGGGTGAAATGTGGCAGAATAAGGGGTGGGGGGCAGGTTTGAATGTGTGGTAGGGCTATGCACAGAACATATTTACAATTTGCAATTATATTGACACAATAAGATTGTGAATATGAAACGTTTAAAGCAGACATTTCCTACAGGAGAATCACGCATAGTATCATACAAGTATTTTATTATATCAATCAAATCATAGATCGTTTGTCTACTTACGCTTCTGATGATCAATTATTATTTCTATCGTTTTAGTTTGCTGTTTTTCTCTTGCTTCTGTTAATTTAACATCCTACTTTTATCACTAGTGAGAAAAAAGCTAATGTTTTTGTTGTTTTATAATTACAGAATAAAAACTAAATACAGAGACTGTTTACTTGAAATTACAAGTTGCAAAGATAAAAGTAAAATAAACCATTTGGTACGTTACAATGTTCATGTCAATCAGTTATTTTTTTTTTCATTTTTTCAAAACTAAGTATTGAAGAGAACAATTTTTCGAAGTAGTTTGGGAGATAAAGATAGAGGGAAGTGGTGAGAATCCATTGAACATTTTTGTATCAAGTGGTGTAGGCCGTGAGTTCTTTTAATATAAGCCCCACTCCCCCATTTTACCCCCCACCCCATAATGACAGCTGTCGCCTTGTTACATGTATCCTTAGATCACGTGGTTTACATCGCTTTCACTCTCAAACGTGTGTTATCTTCATACCGTCATTTTACCCCCTTAAATTCTTAATGGAGTTTATAAAGGCCCATATGTCCATATATATATATATATATATATATATATATATATATATATATATATATATATATATATATATATCTTAAACAGATAAGCTTAAAAGAAGAAGAATTTTCAAAAAAGTCTATCTCATGTAGTAAGTATTTTTTTTTTATCTTTTTATTTTTATTTAAATAAGTTTGGCTGACTTTATGAACAGTTTGCCACATATAAAAGTACATTGCTTTTAGTGTACAAATAAAAGTGTAAGTTGACTGGGTGTGCTAACACAAATAAATATTTTACAGGCGATGCTGCCTCAATGCCAGGCTACAATACGTATAACGGTTGTGTTATGGTAACTGGCTCAAGAACCGTTACAGTGTCGGTTATAGTTTTCTTTTGGGGACTTCTGTAAGTCAGTGCTTATTTGTTTTTATTTTGTCACATTCTAAATGGAAATTTCTGGAGCACAGTGAAGATTGCCACAGCCAGTCATTACTAGATTTAATTCTCAAATCAGCCGGGCTTAAAACCTCGAAGACAAGGTGACACAAAAGCTCTAATGCCTTGAATTAAAACAGGCCTATCTGTACAGGTTAGGCCAATACATGCCTGGTTAAATATTTCTGTGGGTTATGTTTTTTTAGTTCCACCACTGATGTTTTGTTTTTGTTAAAATATCTAGTCAGAAAATACTGCGTGTTCACTATGTCGTTATTTTAAAACCCTAACGTTTACATTGTGTGTATATTTTTAACTGATTAAACTTGTTACATGAATGAATGCTATTTAACAGAACATTATGATTTGAGTATGATCTTATATTTTGGTAAAGGCCTCCACATTGCTGGCATTATAATCTATTGGACAACTAACGCTTGTCCTGCTTTGCATATTTTTTTGTTTCACTTGGCTGTTAGAGTATTTTATTTTTTACTTTTGTTTTGCTTTCATAATCATTCGTTGCACTTATTAGATCTAAATTTTGTGAAATTTTACAATGCAATTCTGATTCAAGTTGCTGATCTAAAACTGTTTCTATAATTTATCATTTTTGAAGGTATATTTGTAATGAATTCATGTTAAATAATTCTCTGTAACAAAGTAGTAGATCTAGAAAGTCATTTTGGAATACTGTAAATGTTTATGTTTAATTTGTTAATTTTTTTCTTGATTTATTTTCTTCCCGGTTAGATTATTAATCTTTGATCTGAAACAATTTCTAAACAAGCTAGTTCTATTTTAGTACTTTCGCGTATTAACAAACAAGTAGCGAACACTTTTTCCCCCAGGAAGTGTTTTTACAAGTGCACGCAGCCAATTTATGTTGCAATCTTCATCAAACAATCACTTAAAGACCCATTTTTTATATTAACAGAACTAGTGCAAAATTGTTATTTTTAAACGCTGTAATTAAAACTTCCGATAATTTTGAAATGTTGGGAAAACTCAATTATATTTTTTTTTATTTTTCGATAACTATTTTTGATCAATACAAAATTGAAATGACGGGAAAACTTAATTAAAATAATTAGTAGTTTCAGTTACTATTGTTTTGACCAATTAAAAATATTTTAATAGTGTTTTGACCAATTTAAAATATTTTAACAGTGTTTTATCCTATATAAAATATTTTTAACAGTGTTTTGACCAAAATAAAATATTTTTAACAGTGTTTTGACCTATGTGAAATAAGGTTTGAAATTAAAGCCCATGCGGTTTTTATGTTTCATTAAATATGTGCAATAATTAAATTCTGCCAAATTCAGTCTTAACTAAGGGGTCAGACTTTAAAGTATTTTTTTACTTGCATTGTTTAGTCTGCTTTGACGTAATATTTTATATTTTATCTAATTTCTATGAAGAGGCATTTTAAACTTTAAAACTGAGATCCAGTTTAAAACTATATTGGTAATATGTTTAATGATTGCCAATTGGCAACTTTATCAACAAATCAATATAGTTAGCGAATCGCATGCCAAAGAATGTGTTCACTGTTAAATATTTTGATAGCCTGCAATATTTGACCGAAGTATTAATGTCGCCTGTAGCTTACACTTTTACCTGCAATATTTGACCGAAGTATTAATGTCGCCTATAGCTTACACTTGTTCCTACAATATTTGACTCAAGTATTAATGTAGCCTGTACCCTACACTTGTCCCTGCAATATTTGACAGAAGTATTAATGTCGCCTATAGCTTACACTTGTCCCTGCAATATTTGACCCAAATGTCGCCTGTACCCTACACTTGTCCCTGCAATATTTGACCGAAGTATTAATGTCGCCTATAGCTTACACTTGTTCCTACAATATTTGACCCAAGTAGGCCTAATAATGTCGCCTATAGCTTATACTTGTCCCTGCAATATTTGACCCAACTATTAATGTCGCCTGTAGCTTACAATTTTACCTGCAATATTTGACCCAAATGTCGCCTGTAGCTTACACTTGTTCCTACAATATTTGACCCAAGTATTAATGTAGCCTATAGCCTACACTTTTACCTGCAATATTTGACCCAAGTATTAATGTAGCCTGTAGCCTACACTTGTCCCTGCCATATTTGACTCAAGTATTAATGTCGCCTATAGTCTACACTTGTCCCTGCAATATTTGACCCAAATGTCGCCTATAGCTTACACTTGTCCCTGCAATATTTGACTCAAATGTCGCCTATAGCTTACACTTGTCCCTGCAATATTTGACCCAAGTATTAATGTAGCCTGTAGTCTACACTTGTCCCTGCAATATTTGACCGAAGTATTAATGTCGCCTATAGCTTACACTTGTCCCTGCAATATTTGACTCAAATGTCGCCTATAGCTTACACTTGTCCCTGCCATATTTGACCCAAGTATTAATATTAATGTCGCCTATAGCCTACACTTTTACCTGCCATATTTGACCCAAGTATTAATGTCGCCTGTAGCTTACACTTGTCCCTGCAATATTTGACCCAAATGTCGCCTGTAGCTTACACTTGTCCCTGCAATATTTGACCCAAGTAGGCCTAATAATGTCGCCTATAGCCTACACTTTTACCTGCCATATTTGACCCAAGTATTAATGTAGCCTATACCCTACACTTGTCCCTGCAATATTTGACTCAAATGTCGCCTGTAGCTTACACTTGTCCCTGCAATATTTGACCCAAATGTCGCCTATAGCTTAGACATTTTCCTGCAATATTTGACCCAAGTATTAATGTAGCCTGTAGTCTACACTTGTCCCTGCAATATTTGACCCAAGTATTAATGTAGCCTGTAGTCTACACTTGTCCCTGCAATATTTGACCCAAGTATTAATGTAGCCTATAGCTTACACTTGTTCATGCAATATTTAATAATGTATCATGAAGCCTACCCTTGTTTCTTGAATGTTTGATCCAAGTTTTAAAATTACATCTTGATTTTTACACTGTCATGACAGAAAGTGTTTTGACGATGTATTTATAAAGAGATCTGTTTACTTCGTATGTTCTCGTTTTGGTATTAATGTATTATTATATTTTGTACAATCATTTATTTTTACTTTTGAAGCCCACCTTCGTGCACAGATATGTTTTGTTGTCACGAGGTTAGGTATCAGAAATAATCATGTTGCCATAGAAACAGCGACATAATTAAATGGTCACTAGACCTTTTATTAATTAGTTTGCTAAGAATCTTTTAGGAAAAATGTTAATGTATACAAATTATGAAGCCATACAAATTTCTTTAACACCTCAATGTATCAAAAAGCAAATTTTGGAATCTTCCTTACGCTTCAGTTGCTATTGCAATATTTCATTGGATTTCTATATTCCACAGAATAAACCTTTAATAAATTTGAAAACAAAAATCTTGCTTTAACCCTGTAATGGCACAGGTTTCTCCTGCGTATGTAGGCTATATATATATATATATATATATATATATATATATATATATATATATATATATATATATATATATATATATATATATATATATATATATATATATATAGGAGTAGGCCTCTCAATACTTACACGTTATCTGCACTGTGTTGCATAAGATGCAGTCTTTTACTTCCATTTGTTCTATAAACATGTTATTGATTCATTTTAAAAAAACGTATAAATACGCTTGTGTACATGTTGATGACATCGACTAGTAGATAAAAGTGTTACTGTTTTCTAATCATTAGATCTTTTTAAATATTTTCCATTCTATAATTTTACCCCGACAGTTTAGTATTGTGTATACTATACAGAATGTTGATTCAATTTTAAGATCTGGTACATTGCTTATATTATAATTTAATTATAAGATCTGGTACTATGATTATGTTTATGTTTAATTATAAGATCTGGTACTATCATTATGTTTATAATTTAATTGTGATCACATTTATAATATGCGTATACATTGAGTTTACATTTATGATTTAACTGTTTTAAAATGTTTTACACACATTTGCACTTGCTTCAATGTTCATGTGGTTCTATTATCTGTAATGTCATTAAAAAATTCTGTATTCTGTTTCTTTTCTTTTTTTTTCAAAAAACTTTACCATGTAATAAAATATAAAGATGCCTCATACATAAAAGACATGACTTGGTGTTGCTGTTTTTATAAAAGCTATACATCACCTCTAATTGAGTTCAGTTCAATTAAGCTTTGCTGGCTTGATTAAACTTTGCTGATGTAGTGACGTTTGCCCCCGTCTTGTGTCAACTACCTCGGCATGAGGCAAACCACAACAGTGACAATTCACTATATCTCATATAACAAACAAAAAATATATTAGATTTTACTTATTCAGTTTGCTGTATGAATGTATGTATTATATCTTGTTAGGCGTATGGAGTTACTAAACTAACATGCGTAAGCAAATATACAAACCTCCACCCCCCCCCCCTCCTCCACACACACAAACACACCCCTCTACACACATACAAACCTCCATACACACCTCCCTACACACACAGACACTCCCCTCTAGGAGGCTGTAGGATCTATGTGCTTGATAAAGAATTCAGTTTTTGTCGACACTGCAAAATTACAATCAGTCATCGATTCCCTAAAGTGGATGGTGTGGTTAACTATGACTTCATTGTCTTCATTACAAAACGTGCTGTCTTTCCTGTTGTTGTCATCCGCTTTACACTCCAGTGTCGGAACTAGAAAAAAAGCCCCCCCCCGCATAATTTTTTTTTGGGCCCCTATATATATATATATATATATATATATATATATATATATATATATATATATATATATATATATATGTGTGTGTGTTTGTGTGTGTATACTTACTCCAGTTGGTTGAGGCACTGTTTCCTATGTAAATCTGCACTTTCTCTTCTTGGTCTTAAACCCCAGCTCTCTACCAATTTCCCACTACACTTATGGCGTTTGTGTAGAGCTTGTAATGTAGTATCAGCCCCCTTCTCTCCCCCTCGTTGGTTGAAAACTGCATTTATCTACACATATGCGGCTATTATGATGTACTAAGCCTACTTTAAAAAAAAAAACTAAACTTATTTTTGCCTCTCTAGTATTTGCAGTCTTATCAGTTGGTGTCAAAGCTTACTGTGACTTGGTATCAGACTGTGCACACAATATAAAATAATGATGTAAATGTATTGATTTATAGATCTATTATCTATATTAGATTATGCAGTGGCGTAGCGAAGTCGGGTGTCACCCGCTGCGGCACTTAATGGTGTCACCCCCCAGAGGCGTAGCGACCCTTCCCGGGGACAAACTTTCAAATTTTCGACTTGCACTCCCACCCATCAAATTTTTTGCCTTGGTGTCCGCCCCCCCCCCCCCCCCACCCCACCTTGCTACGCCTCTGAGATAATGTTGTTTTCTATGAATTAAGAGAGTTTATTAATTGTTTCAGTTTTGGTTTCCCCTCCCCCTTTTGTCAGCTCTCCTGTTTTTGAGTTGAAATAATATTTTTCTAGTAGAGTAGATTCCCTTAGTCAAAATGGCTGCGTCCTCAAAGTCGAGTGATGAAAGTGAAAACAAAGTAGAGAATGCAAATGATCAGAAAACAATAACAAACGAGGAGGATTTCGGTTATTATTTTTACCCAGAGAGAGAAAAAAAGAAAGAAAAATCTTTTTTTGAAAGAGCTATCTTTCGCGATGACGTGCATAATTACAAATGCAAATCCAAAGTTCAGTCTTGTTTGGAGAAAAGTAGGCCTAATTTTAAATTTTCAATATTTTGTCATTTTACGCACTTTTATTAAAAGATCAGGTCATGTGAACATCTAAATGATTTTAATCATTAAGCTTAAGAGACAAAATGTTTTTAGAAGCCTATTTCACATCATTGGAAATTATTCATTTTGAGGTCAACTTTTTGAATCCCTAGTCTATGGCGACCACCGCCAACCCCCCCACCCCACCGGCCTGGCTGATTAACCTGTTACATAGAGATAGTAGAGAGTTGATATAAACTCAAAACAAGTGTTCAGTGTATAAAGAAACACATTTAAATAGATCAGGCCACATCCCACAGTGTTGTGTGCCATACCATAGCTAAATAAAATACATCGTCAGTGATTATTAATTAATCAGGCCTATGATTACAAATATTGGTAATCTATCGTTTTGGGTACGTAAAATCGCCCGCGATTTATAATGTGAAAAACAGGTGACTCCTTAAATTTTAATAATTATTTCACATTTTGAGGAGAATTTATGTTTTAAAAAATTCAAAAATGTTTCCTTGATTCATTTATGTACCTGTTTTTAAACAATTGAATTAAAACTTTTCCGTAATAAATGAAGACTAGCGATGTTTCCAACAGATGCAACCATGCTCATTTACTATAGCAGCCATCTTGTCTAAGTTTTATTTTTATAAGCTTTTAGCGCCAGATTCAGGGGGAAGTCACTCTATTTTACAAATGGCTGCTGTTTATATAGCAAATCTTGCTCTCAGACACTGCTGTTTAAAGTTAATTTCTGGCCTATATCGATATATTTAGCCATTGATTTAGGTTTATTATTCATTTATCTATAATATTTGACACAAAAGTATGACAATATACTTCTATTAAAGCCTTGACAATGAGGTAACGTTTTCGTACATAAATAGCCGCGGGCAATTTTACGTACCCAAAACGATAGATTACCCAAATATTTTATAATAGGTTTAATTATGGATTTTTTAAAATAAAATATTGTGTTATTTCAAACACACCATTAAGTTCCTTACCCCTTAAGAGAACATTTGACACCACATTTAAATATCTAGCTTACTCGGTTGACGAGAAAAGAGAGAATTTTAAAATTAGTCTAGAATGGAAAATGAATGACAAAACCCACGTTCTAGATCCCTGCCGGCATGATATGACGTCGTGAACTGGTGTGCACAAGTTTTTTAAGGGGTGTGTCAACTTAGGTTATTTACTCACCGGAAAATAACAAAAAAAAAACCAACTGATTGATAATAAAACTAGATCTAGTTATTTATTAAATTGGTAAAGGAAAATGTACATTACAAATTCTACTCTACATGTTATTCATACCATTTTTTATGAAATAATGAACACTTGCATAACTCAAATTACCATAAAAAATATTTTTATTTCAAATTCTAATTTTATTAAATATGCTTAAAATAATATGATTGTTATGATAGTCTATAAATACAAGAAATAGGCCTACATTTTACACTCAATTCACATTATATTGAGTCAACAGTGTGGAAGCTGAAGTTCATACACGGTATTAGTGTCTTTTTTTTTTACATTACATTTTTTTTTCATATTGAAAACGTGACGTGTAATTTTTTTTTAATAAAATCTCCAAACATCGTCACTCGCGTGATTGCTTGCTTATGTTTACTATCCCGCGGGTGAAAAATCCCACCACGGTCGAGGGGTCACTGTGCGGTCAGCAGGCCTGTAGTACACCTCATAGAATGAACACGCGTACACGAGATCGTCGGTGTCTTCACTTCTCTCTCTCTCTTCCCCCCCCCCCCCCCCTTCTTCAAGCAAATTATAATAGAGTAGAGCCGAATGGATACAAAACTAAGACTAATTTTAAAACTTAGCTTAATTTTTTTTTGTCTACTCTCTTAAAAGATAAAGCAAATGTAGTTTAATGTAGTAAGGTAAAGTAATTTAAATATTCAATATCAACTTGAAGTCGATCTATCTTGATAAAATCTGTCAAGAAAAAAAAACGATAAAAGATCTCCATCCTGAACTTAAACCAATTGTAATTTTAACAGACGAAAATGATGCTCGCGCACATTTTTTTTTAACTAGATCTACGTCTAGCTTTAAAAATAATAAACACATAAACGCTTAAAATGCCCGTAAACAGATTATTTAGCGCCAAAAAAAAAAAAAGACCGCTGAACAAGCATTGTTTAAAATACGCAGCAATGAAAAAGGCTAACGGCCTATCAAATAAGTCTAAAAATCGCCCGAAATTAGGCCTAGCTCTGAAAAAGGCCACTGAACGAGCATCACTGATTATATAAACGAATAGGCCACGCAGCGTTGACGAGGTTAACCACCGGTCACGAATTAAATTCAATGCAGCTACTGTCGGCCCACAGTGAAGAAAAAAAAATCAATATAGGACCTACTAATATTTTAATAAAATTACTAATACAATAATAATTTCCACAATTTTACTTTTTCTGCACACGCTACAGTTGAATTATAATTAAAATACTAGACTTAAAGGTTCATTCCGCAAAAAACAAAAACTAGTTGTTTCTGTGAGGTAACTAGCGTAACAATGACGTCACGATAGTAAACAAAGCGGACAGAAATTTCTGCATGGGTACCTCATCCTCATATTCGATTTTTAAAAAATGTATCAACAGATCTGTAATTAATCATTATAAATATCTCAATTATATATTTCTGCATTTGTACCAGGGGGTTTCGACCATGTACTGGGCCGTTTAAGGCGGCAGTTCAGTTTTTCCCAAGAGTACTCGACAAAAATAGCGTGTATTAATTAAAACCACGTATCTCGTGAATATTTCGAACATTTTAAGGCATGGCGTCCATTTAGTTAGCATCTCACATTAAAATAATGATGAGATTTTGCGATATTAGCAGTTTTTTCATTTGTCGTGTAACGGACCCCTAAAAAAAAACGAAAAAAACGCAAAAAACGACGAGTGACGTTTCAGGGTCAGAGGTCATCCCGCCATCTCAGCCAGGAGACGATCTATTTTATAAGCCTACGTTACACATTTTTAATAAATAGGCATGTAATTATCACTTACAATTAAAGAATCAATACCACCACAGTAGTTATGCTTCTGTCAAGTCAAAGCTTATACTCTTGACTTCTATCAGAAGGTAATCCCTGTTTATGTAGATCCAGGCTCTCTCAATTAAGAGTCAATCGGCTTGAAAAGGTAGCAATAGTTGATCAAATGTGGACTGGACAAGACACATCACCCAAACAATCATGCAATAACAGGCCTAACAACCATCGCTAGTTTAAGTGGCAACACATTCCTCAAATGATTTGTACATCACTTCCTATGTTTGGGAAGTAACTTGAACCATGATCCCTGCAATACCTGAACTGTTGTCAACCTGTTTTGGTCACTTAATATTTAAAGCGAAGTCTGGAAAAAATGTATTTCTTTTTAAAATCTTCAGGATTAATTTCATGTCTGATTTTCCAATGTTGAAATATTTCAGATGCCAAAGTAAAGCTGTTGGTTGGCGCCTTACAGAGCTATGGCTGGTAAGTGATTTATAAGCTTTGATTGCTTATTAGTTTGATTGTTTGTGGGTTTGTACCAAATTTTGTATCTCAGTTTCAACTCACCTTCATCTCAGCGATTTTGTTCAAATGGCTAATTTTTATCTAATTAGATATTAAATTATTACGTCAAAATTAATTTTAAATGGTAATAATAAAAGATAATAATATGCCTTTATATGCACTGAACATAAAAAATAAAACCAACTTTCTTACTTTAATAAAAGCATTGGTCCCTTGTGAAACTTGTTACACCTTTAGTTACTTATGCTTTTGCATTTTGTTGAGGTTAAAGAAAGCACATTTTATTTATTTTTGCATTTTCAGTGCATTTAAAAGCTTAAAATTATAAATAGGTTTATGTTTTTTATTTTTTTTTTACTTTTTTTAAAGTTATGGATGATGAGGATTATTGTTTACTTAAAATTACGGGTGGTAAATGAGTTGTATTTTTACCTAAAATTGTCAGGGGTTAAGTAAGAGAATAATTTTTTACTTTCAATTGTGGGTGGTAACTGGTAATTGAGAGTTGTTTTAGTTACATGTAACAACCCTATGGTGTATAAAAATTGTCTAAAAGAATCCATTGTAAAAAGTTAATTGATGTATCTTCATATCTCTAGTCCAGTTGACAAAGCTAAAAGAATCCATTGTAAAAAGTTAATTGATGTGTCTTCATATCTCTAGTCCAGTTGACAAAGACAGGCACATCTCCTGTGAGAGATGTACCGACAGAGTCAGTGGAGGATTTGACCCCAAAACCATGCAGGTACACCATTGTGTTGTCTTACTGTTGGGATCTCTAGAACTTTGCTGGTTTCACCCTGCTTTGATGGGCATCTAACTTGAGTTCAAGAAAGTAAAACTGCACAATTACGTCAACTTTTTACCCTGATATTGGTGAAGAGTTATAAAGACCAGTATGAAATAGCACCCTACATTATTAAACATCTTTTTTGAACAGGTGGTGGTTTGTCAGAACAATGTAAAAAATGAAGATGTGTGCTGTAGTATCTTAGCTCATGAGCTGCTCCATGCTTTTGATTCTTGTAGAGCTAAACTGGACTTTGAAAATTTGAGGCATTTAGCTTGTACAGAGGTAAGTACTGGATATCACATAATCTAGTTTGTACAGTAATATACAGAGGTTAGTGGTCATTGTCAGATAATTTTAGCTTCTACAGATGTAAGGAATGGTTACAGCTCCTCTTTTAAATTTTTTAATACAATATTTAAAAATTGGTAATAAATACTGAGTGCATTTGGTTGTTTGTATTTGGTCATTCCATGATACTGATACATTTTTAATGTAATTGTTGATTTCTCAACAACACCTTGGTTTTAGTTTTTAATATTTCTTTAAAGTAATTTTAAAATAATTGAATGTTGATCTCCTTTTTTAATAAAAATCTCTTAGAAAGGTTTTTGTCTTTCAAATTGTCTAAAATTTTATGTTAGCTGTGTTGATTGACAAAAGCTGTCATTGAAGTGTTGTGTTTGCTAAATCCCAGATCAGAGCTGCAAATATGTTCCATTGTTCTATTGGGGCAGCGATGACTACAGGGGAAGTCTCCCCATTTGGGGTTAAAGAACGGCATCAAGTAAGTTGTCTTCACAACTAGATATTTTGGGGTTTCACAAAACTTTCTTTGTATGAGTAGTTTCTCCGTACAACCACAAGCACAATATGTTTAGGTAAATGTGGCAGATAAAACTTGTATACATTGTGTGGCAATCAGGCCATGTGATTGTGTGAGTGGGATTGTGTGGCAATCAAGCCATGTGATTGTGTGATTGTGTGGTGATTGCCATAACACAACAGCAGGCTGACATCTGGAATATTATTTTAAAACTTCAGTAGTTTTACACCTCAACCATTGCATATAAACTAAGCTTATTTTTAAATGGTTAGTTAACAATAAAATGTAAACAAGTCAAAGCCTAGCAAGTGTTTATATTCCCATGACTATGACAGACTGTAAAAAGCTCCCTTTAAAACAGTAAATTTGAGATTCTGGTCTATTTGCTCCACCAACAGTTGTGTGTAAGGAACAAAGCTTTACAGTCCATTATGCTGGTCCGGAATGTTCCCAAAGAAGAGGCCATGACAGTTGTAGATGAAGTCTTTGATAAATGTTACAACGACATGGAACCTTTAGGCAGGAGGTGTTTCAAAAACCAAGGTCGGGCCAAGAGAGCACTAGAGGAAGCGAGAAATTATTACGACGTTGTTTGATATTCATGTTACTAGGTTTATTTCATGTTATTGAATCTGTTCTATTGTTGTGAATGTAGATTGATTGTATCGACGATTCAACTAAATATTAGTTAATATATTTTTCATGTCAAGAATGTAGAATTGAATGAATGGATGATTAAACCAGAAGTATAAATTACGATTGAGTTGTATTAGCTATGCCTCTTCCTTCAGTGTGGAGAGAGGGGGCCTGATACAAGGGCAGCATCTGGCTCCCTACACTGATTTTCAGTCTCCTGCCCCAGCCTTGAACTTGGGATAATTGGGCATGGGGAAATCAATCCTTTATGAGACTACAGAGCCATGTAATTACTACGGACAAAACAAACTTGTATATGGTTGACTCAGGGGTGTGTCATTGACTGAACCAGCCGTGTAAATGTGGTTGATCTTTAGACTCCACCAGTTGCAGTTGATCAGGATGTGCTCTCAAACTACGCAATATGTGGCCAACAGTTGAGCCATCAGGGAAGTTGATTGCCGTTCCCAGTGTATCAATAAAATCTCACTAGAAATAGAATTATTATACAAAAAACTTTAAGCTGCTTAACTGAAGGTATTATGGACACTATTTATTAATCCTCTTATAGTATAAATACTTTTAAAAAAACAAAACATTTTTTTGGCATTCACCATTTTATTTTAAAATTATAAATTTTTACATTGAATAAAAAATGTAGAACCAAAGGCATCATTCGTCAAGTTAAAATATTTTACTGTAAAAATGTGTGGGAGTTTGTTAGGTTTTCTAAATTAATACATCAAATAGTGTAGTGTAAAATAATCTGATGGAAGTAGCAGTCCTTGGCTTGATCAGCGTGACAGTCTGAATTTAGTTCCTGGCCTGCGATTGGTTAATTCTGACACACTAATCATCATTTTAAAACTTTCCTTTGTTTAGTAGATAATGTATTTAAACATCAAATGATAAAGGAACCGTTTGGTTGTATAAATAGGTAATCACCAGGATATTGTATTCCATTAAGAGAAATAAAAAAACTCATTCTGATCAAAACTTTTGTGCGATCTATGAATTGCTAGTTATCTTCGTTCAACTGACACCACTGATGCTACATGTGCTACAAAAGTTTTAATTACTGCCAGCAGTAAATGTTGCGATATAAAAAGAAAAATTTGTTGTATACAACTAATGAAACCCTCTGTATTCACAAGGAATACTAACTAATACAGTGAACCAACAGAAGTAAAGAAAAAACTCATTGAAAATCATCCATAATACAAGTTAAAAAATAACTGTCTTCAATAATAGAACTACAGGTACATGTACTACAGCAAAGAACAAAATGTTGGCACCCTCAACTCCTGTGACCAGCACAGGTACCACATGTTTAATTTAAGAAGTGCTCTTGAAAAATGTCACGTGTTGAAAGAATAGTGAATACTGCACAAACTTTGGATATACTCAATCTATGCTTTCCCTTCCCTTTGTTAGAACAGAGCTCAAGAACAGGCTTGACTTGTATTTGTAGACAAGGGCTAAGTTTAGATCAGTTGTTTTGTGACATGAAATGTTTACAACTTGTATTGGCTCTGAGGAATATTGAGACTTTCTGGACTTGATTTCCCATTTTTCAAGGCACTAATTAACTTTAAACTTACACAGTCGATTACAAAATGGACATTTCTACCTGGTGGTGAACTAATTGGGTCATAAAATGTAACAAAAAAGTTTACACAATATTTCTTAACAAAATATTGAAAACATCAAAACATGAAAAAAGGTAAACAAATACATTTGTTCATGTTACATTATAATACCTAACTAACAATAACATTGGAGAATTTTCAGACAGAAGAATCTAAAATGGAAATCTTTCACCTTATATCAGGAATCACTTTTTCTGTTAAGTGTGATAATTTTAATGAATACAATTACAACTAGTATCAGATAACTGAAACGATTCTGGTTTGTTTCTGATGCAGGCATATCTGACAATTTTGAACAAATGTTTATTATTACTATGGCAGAAAACAACTTGATATTTTAATTGTTGAAGTAAGGTTGTTAACACTGGGATAACCAGTTAAAACAGTCAATTAAATACCTCATTAAAATAATATAAAAAACAATTAAAACATTTTGATAAAGCTGTGGCTCGTTGAAATATTATGCCAGGGAATGTGTATGTAACAAGTAAATTCAAGGTAAACAATTTAAAGGTTCCTCAATAAGTTCATGGTCATCCTTTCCTTTGACAAAATTATTAATCAATTATAGGAAACATTTTATTTGAAGTTTTTCAAGTACCTCTACAAAATTAACTATGCTACAATTATGGTTTATTAAATTATTAGCAAAAGATAAATACTTTCATGAAAACCTAACAAATAAATTGTGCAAAGTTTTGAGATTTAGTACTAAATGCTAATCAACTTAAACAATTTGTGTTAAATTTGTTCATTTAAAAGCACTTTTGGTGGATCTGCTGCAAACACAAGTTGGAATGTTTTTTTTTATATTTTGCTGCTGGTAGATCGTTTAGCATTTCTACAGGTGGTCCTGACAGCTTGCCACTTGGATGGGTTCCTCCTGAAGTAGAAGATGCTGCCAGCGACCACCACCACAAGCACCAGGGAGCCAATGACCAGCCCCACGATCATGCCAACGTTCGTCTCCGTCCTGGCCACGTACACGCCACCGCTGCGAGCCTGAATCGTAGCGCGACTATCCCCTATGCTGGCCTGGACTTTGGACCAGCCAGAGAAATCTGCGTTGGCGTGGTAAATTTCAACGCTGCCGGAGCTGTCAGACAGCTTAAGTTCCAGCGTGACAGCTTTACCGACGTCTGGCACCAGAACTTCTGGGTGGATGATGTAGAAATCACTGGCGTAGTTGTCTCCCTCCTGACATAAGTAAAGAAACAATGATTCTCTTACTAATGTGTTTCAGGATATATTAATAACCTAAGGCTTAAATATAAAAGAAAACATTCATAGCTTTAAAAAAATCCTAATAACACTGTAGCTTTAAGAAAAATTAAATTAATATTTTGTAAAGAAATTTTTCGATTAACGAAACCTCAGCATAACCATTCAATGTACAAAGTGGAACTGAACTATTTTCTTAAAAAAAAACGATGAGATAAACAGGTGTGTGGGCAGATTTGTCTACCTTTAATTCACGATTGACCTCTTTCATTGCCTGCTCTCCATCCTTAACTGGCATCTTTTCAATCCTGACTTGCTGCAGTGAGTCAAAGGTGTCTGCCTCCACCACCATTTTGGCTATTCTGTAAACAGACGGGGCTAGGTAAGTACAAGGTACAGGCTTTCTTTAACAAGGCCCTATTTTAAATTTTAACAGATGAAGGAGCATTGTTTTGGTGAACCAGAGAAAGAGCTGAAACTTTTAAAAATAGTTGAAATTGAATGAAGGCAAGTTAACTGTGGACAGTCAGTAAGTTATTTATGTAACTTTCTTTTAAAAGTTAAACGTTGTTACATTTTAAATAGCTCTAAAACTTCTAAAAACACATAGTGTGTAAATAAAATTAGAAAACACAGTAACACTGTGGAGATGTGGTGTGATGCCACCCACTGAGGTGTAGTGTTTTTTTAAGGGCTGACCCTGAGGACAACACAAACAATGACGCTCCTGCTGTCAGATCCTGATTTATTGTATATCAAGTGCAAGTACTAAAACCAGTCCTATGACCACAAGTCCAATGACAAATTCATATACAGCATAAGGCCCTTCATTAGGTCTACATATAACCAAGTTAACCTATGCCCATGTCAGCAGCTGGACGGTCATAGTTAGACAAAAGATTGAAAGAATGTTTTTACCCTGGTTCAATAGCCAGTGTCCCTCCCATCTTGCCAATAGCAGCAGACGCAGTGGTTGTGGTCGACACAGTTACCCGCCCCTTCTGATCACGATTAGAGAAGTTGTTGTTCCTTGTGCTCATGTAGTGGTAGGTTCCCTTCTGTGTGATTTTCCTCGGAGGAAGGTTGAAGTAGGTCCCTGCATCATCCAGCTCGGAGACCTCGCCTCGAAACTGACCTGCAATTTATCACATTCACATTGATTCAAACTTGTTTCTAGTTCATTATAAAATCTATGTTCTATTATAAACTGGGTGATTTTAAAACAATATAGCAATATCAAATTTCAATTGATTTAGAATTCTATTTGCTGAAATGTAGGTATATCCCTGAGAGATCTACTGTGTTAACTTGAGAGATAATGTTCAGTCCTACATTTTTTTATGAAGTTATTTATGCTTTATTACAAAATAGAATTATGTAATATTTGCAATGAAAAGATATGATACTAGGATTAACAAATGTGACAATGGGATTTGTAATTTTAAAAATGTGTGATCTCCCAGCAACTTAAAAAACATGTGATCTTCCTTTAAGTTAAAAAAATGTGATCTCCCTACCTGGATTTAAAAAGGCGAGAGTGAGAGCATCTTGTGTTGATAAACCCAGGAATGTAGCGTTATCAGAACTCATGGCGTAGTTGACTCCAAAATGGCCGTAAGTTGGTTCAGTGTAGCCATTATTCTTGGGGTAAACCTGGTGTAAATTATTAAAAACCTACCTTAAAGTTTTAAAATTTGTCTACCATATAAAAGCTAGTATGTAAAAAAATGTCGATTTTCCTGCGCACATATGATCTATGAAAACAAATTTAGAGGAAGGTTATACAGAAACATAGAGAACAGCTGATCATGAAGTTAGCTACTAGTCATGTCATGTATTAGTAGGTTGTTTGTCTGAGATTTTCCTGTACATACCTGTGGTCCCAAGAGAACTATGTTGTTCCGGTCAGTGCCAGCTAGCCCCTGGCCATCATTGTTGTTAGGATTGGTGTTAGAACCTGTCCATCTGTGGGAGATGGAAGCAATACAGGTTTACATCAGGTTTACATCAGGTTTACATAAGGCAAACACTGACTGACCACCTGGGTTCAACTACTCTAAGCCAACAACTTGACTAATCCACCCAATCAATAACTTGACTAATCCACCCAATCAACAGCTTGACTAATCCACCCAATCTACTACTTGACTAATCCACCCAATCAACAACTTGACTAATCCACCCAATCAACAGCTTGGCTAATCCACCCAATCAACAACTTGACTAATCCACCCAATCTACTACTTGACTAATCCACCCACCCAACAACTTGACTAATCCACCTAATCAACAACTTGACTAATCCAACCAAGCAACAACTTGACTAATCCACCCAATCAGCCTGTAGGTGTGGACAAATCTCAAGTGACTTACTGTAAGTGGATACAATCTCCAACGGTCATCACAAGGTCATTAGGTACAAAGTCGTACTCCACACCTGGGTACACCTGAACGATGTTGCCGCGTTTACCTCTCACGTTCAGGTTGTGAATATTTCCACACGACAGATCCTCTGGTTGTTTGCGTACAGCAAACGTGTGGCTCCTGTTTAGACATTACAAGTTTTTTTTTTAAATTTAAAAACTCATTTTTCAGATATTAAGATCTGATGAATTAATAATGAATTAATAATAATATATAAAATAATTATAAAATTGTCGACTGTGGTTAACACACTTTACTTGCTCTGATTTAAGGAAGCCTAGTTATCATTCAAATAGTGGATGCATTGTTTCCTTGATACAAATTTACTACATTAATGACAATAAACTAGCCAGTCAACAACATTAATGACAACAGACTTGCCAGTCAACAACATTAATGACAACAGACTTGCCAGTCAACAACATTAATGACAACAGACTTGCCAGTCAACAACATTACTGACAACAGACTTGCCAGTCAACAACAATAATGACAGTGAACCTGCCTGTCAACAACATTAATGACAACAAACTTGCCTGTCCTGAAACACACGACCAAACTGAGCAGTGTTGATAGCCAGTCTCAAGCCAAAGTTCAGCCCTGGAAAAATTTTCACCACTGGGTTGTTCTTGAACTCATAGCCTCTGGCTTTAGCCTGCGAGTCATTAGCAAATCCAAATTTTTCTTTTAAGCTGATTTTTGTTGGGTTGCCATTGGATGAGGCGTTGGTTGTCCAGCCATCATAATCTCCAGTAGAAATATTATACCTGTTTCACAAACAATAAAAAACTTAGTATGAAAATGTTAAAATAACAAAAAATTACTGATGTTTTTTTTAAAGGATGGGGTAGAATATGAATAATTGCAGTTAAAAATCGAATGTTCCTCAACTGTAGCTAACCCTATTATGTCACCAATAATGGCATTTCTTTGAGGTGAGTTTTAACTGTGGCAGACAATGAGAAAGTGATGTGTTCACCTGATTCTTAGGACACAGCTCTCATGCTCCAGGTAGCTGGGGATGGTCCAGTTGTACATAGACGGGTGACCTCCGTACCCGTTCCCCAGGTGGTTGTCTCGTGTGTACTCTGTCTCCCTGCAGTCAGGGGCGGCAACTCCGTGTGCTGGGATCTCCTTCCACTCAGGTTTTCTTACCTCCCCTTCTATGTTCTTGGGTAGCTCATATTTCTGTTGGTGGATCAACAATTGACATGGATCAAAACTTAGAAGAAATTTTAGAAGTAATTTTGATTTATAAATCAATACAAGGTAAGTCATAAAGAAGTAAGATTTCTATTCTTCTTCTTCTTTGTTCTTAATTTTTAGTGTTGGAAGAGATCCAGCCTTATCTGCCAGAGGGTTCGAACTTGAGACTTTTTCGAATTTATCAACCCTGAGCTTTAGCTGACTTGACCACGCCTCCATCACAATTAAGGATACGTGTCAACTGGTTTTGCGCCATTGAGGCCATTGACTCCGATTTCAGCCTGCTTTTCTTTTTGGATTTTCTTCCATAGCCTTTATCAAACCAAGAACAAACTACAAGGCAGCAGTTGTTTGATTTTGGAGTTGTCTCTCCTAGAAGAGTGGCTGTCCCCAGCTAACGAGCCTCATCTGCCCGAGGGTTCAAATTCGAGACTTTTCATTTTTGGCAACCATGAGCTTTACCGACTCGACCACTAACATTTCTTCTCTTTGATCTTAAATTGTGTGTTAAAGTGGATTTCCTCCAACGCAATTAAGTACTATATGTCAACATGTTTTGCAACATATACAAAATTCTACAAGGCAGCAGTTTTGGAGCTTTCCCTCCTAGATGGGTTGCTTTCTCCAGCTAATGAGCCCCATCTGCTCTGTGTCCAAACTTGGGACTTTTGTGCTCTACTTCCCAACCATGCAGTCCCAGATCTCTACTAATTTGATCGTAAACCTTACATTTATTCATCATCATTTTTCCATTCTAGCCCCTAGAGGGCTGCAGTTACACAAACTCTAAATTGTCTTTGGGAAATTATTGTAAATTTTAAAATACATTTTTCAAACAAGCAAAAATTCCAAATATATACATATATGCTAATATTCATTAAAAGGCTTTAAAACTGTGTTAGGTTAAAGGTAATGTATTATTTTTATATGTTCCAAATCTTTAAGCAATGGTAACTTGCAAGACAATGGAGGTATTTTATTTAAGTGACCTGGAATTGTTACAAGCAAGACACATGACATATGTCATATGTAATTTGGTGTTGTGCGAGACTTTCCACAGACACATGTAAAACAACATCACAAGAAGAAATAATGTACTCACCTTACAGTCCTGCTCATCATTAGGTAGAACGACCTTGTCCTTGATATTCTCCATGACAGTGAGGGGGAAGACACACGCCCACCTGGACTTGACGTTCTGGCTCTCTGACTGGTAGTAGCTGCACCTGGAGACGTTGTTGGTCAAAACTGCTATGTCCTGTAATGCAGTGCAGATTAGAAGAGTTTAAAAATAGACCCAAAAAAATTCAAATTAGCTTTTTTGTTTGCTTTTAGTTTTTTTTAAGTTAAATAAATGGTTAACTGCAATAAACCCATGCCTTCTCTCAATGTATTGAGTTACTGCCCTTACTTTAATCATGTCTCCTTTTGACATATTCAGTTACTTTTCTTACTTTACCCATCTTCTCTCGTCCTATTGAGTTACTTCCCTTCGTTACCCCATCATTCTTTGAACCCATTGAGTTACTTCCCTTCCTTTACCCCAGCCTTAACTTATTGAGTTACTTCCCTTCCTTTACCCCAGCCTTATCTGAACTTATTGAGTTACTTCCCTTTAACCCAGCCTTAACTTATTGAGTTACTTCCCTTCCTTTCCCCCCAGCCATAACCTATTGAGTTACTTCCCTTCCTTTACCCCAGCCTCATCTGAACTTATTGAGTTGCTTCCCTTTTCCCCAGCCTTAACTTATTGAGTTACTTCCCTTCCTTTCCACAAGCCTTAACTTATTGAGTTACTTCCCTTCCTTTACCCCAGCCTTATCAGAACTTATTGAGTTACTTCCCTTCCTTTACCCCAGCCTTAACAGAACTTATTGAGTTACTTCCCTTTACCCAAGCCTTAACTTATTGAGTTACTTCCCTTCCTTTACCCCAGCCTTATCAGAACTTATTGAGTTACTTCCCTTCCTTTACCCCAGCCTTATCAGAACTTATTGAGTTACTTCCCTTCCTTTACCCCAGCCTTATCAGAACTTATTGAGTTACTTCCCTTTACCCCAGCCTTAACTTATTGAGTTACTTCCCTTCCTTTACCCCAGCCTTATCTGAACTTATTTTGTGAAGTTAAAGCCCAGCTTGAGAGTGACAGTGTACTCACCACCCAGGGGGAGGCGTGCCAGTAGGGGTAGTAGTCCCTCTCTTCTGGACATTCGTAGCCTCGCCTGGTGCCCTGCGAGTTCTGTCTGGTACTGCGAGCTGTTTCCTGCTTGTTGAGGTTCTGTTGGGGGAAATATTCCGAGGTTTTGTTAGCTAAAGTCTAAGCTGATTTCAGAGTAATAGTCGTGGGTTTTGTTAGGTAAACTCTAAGCTGATTTCAGAGTAATAGTCGTGGGTTGAAAGTACACCTCAGAGTAAGTTAAAATATGATTTACGATTCTAGGTTTAAAAAAAAATAAAAATAATAATAATAAAATTGCAACATTTCCAAAAGAACGACAACTCCGTGTACCTGATCAGCAGTAAACAATCCTTTGTTTCTCTCCCTTAGAGAACATTCCTGGTAGTAGGCGTAGTTTTCGTGCATTCGATACCGCCTGTCAGTATCGCAGTTGTAGTTATCACATTGGGCTCGGTTGGCCGGTATCGTTCTAAAAATAGGAAAATATATCGGTTCTAATGACATGGATTCATAGAAGTTTTAAAACATGGACAAACAGAACATTTTAAAATCGGCTTTCAACAGACTTGTACCGAACAGATGTGTACTGAATAAACACATGCAGCAGCAAGACCTCATTGAGTTCACTCAGCTCGGATGGGGTACCGGGCATTTGAAAGAGATACACGAGAACCCCCCCCCCCCCCCCGCATCGTGGATACAATTAAGGTGATTGAACATGGTAGTTCTACTTATCCCACAATATCTTCTACTTGACGAACATCTTCTATCAAACTTTTCCGCGTAGCAGTAGCACAACTCTACACACTGCGCCAGTGTCACACCCCTCCCCCACAAACACAAACACACATCGTGTAACAGTAGCACAATTCTACACACTGCGTTAGTGTCACCCCTCCCCCCCCCCCACACACACACATCGTGTAGCAGTAGCACAACTCTACACACTGCGCCAGTGTCACCCCTCCCCCACAAACACAAACACACATCGTGTAACAGTAGCACAATTCTACACACTGCGTTAGTGTCACCCCTCCCCCCCCCCCCCACACACACATCGTGTAGCAGTAGCACAACTCTACACACTGCGCCAGTGTCACCCCTCCCCCCCCACACACACACACATCGTGTAGCAGTAGCACAACTCTACACACTGCGTTAGTGTCACCCCCACACACACATCGTGTAGCAGTAGCACAACTCTACACACTGCGCCAGTGTCACCCCTCCCCCCCCCCACACACACACACATCGTGTAGCAGTAGCACAACTCTACACACTGCGTTAGTGTCACCCCCACACACACATCGTGTAGCAGTAGCACAACTCTACACACTGCGCTAGTGTCACACCCCTCCCCCACACACACATCGTGTAGCAGTAGCACAACTCTACACACTGCGCCAGTGTCACCCTTCCCCCCCCCACACACACACCGTGTAGCAGTAGCACAACTCTACACACTGCGCCAGTGTCACCCCCCCCCCCCCCACACACACACATCGTGTAGCAGTAGCACAACTCTACACACTGCGCCAGTGTCACCCCCCCCCCAACCCACACACACATCGTGTAGCAGTAACCCAACTCTACACACTGCGCTAGTGTCACCCCCCCTCCCACACACACACACATCGTGTATCAGTAGCACAACTCTACACACTGCGCCAGTGTCACCCCCCCCCCCAACCCACACACACATCGTGTAGCAGTAGCACGACTCTACACAGCGCTAGTGTCACCCCCCACACACACACACAAATCGTGTAGCAGTAGCACAACTCTACACACTGCGCCAGTGTCACCCCCCCCCCCCAACCCACACACACATCGTGTAGCAGTAGCACGACTCTACACAGCGCTAGTGTCACCCCCACACACACACACACATCGTGTAGCAGTAGCACAACTCTACACACTGCGTTAGTGTCACCCCCCCTCCCACACACACATCGTGTAGCAGTAGCACAACTCTACACACTGCGCTAGTGTCACCCCCCACCCCCCCACACACACACATCGTGTAGCAGTAGCACAACTCTACACACTGCGCCAGTGTCACCCTTCCCCCCACACACACACCGTGTAGCAGTAGCACAACTCTACACACTGCGCTAGTGTCACCCCCCCTCCCACACACACACAAACATCGTGTATCAGTAGCACAACTATACACACTGCGCTAGTGTCACCCCCCCCCCCTCCCACACACACACACATCGTGTAGCAGTAGCACAACTCTACACACTGCGCTAGTGTCACCCCCCCCCTCCCACACACACACACATCGTGTAGCAGTAGCACAACTCTACACACTGCGCTAGTGTCACCCCCCCCCCCCACACACACACACACACATCGTGTAGAAGTAGCACAATTCTACACACTGCGCTGGTGTCACCCCCCCCCACCCCCCCCCCCCCCACACACACACACATCGTGTAGCAGTAGCACAATTCTACACACTGCGCCAGTGTCACCCCGCTCCCCCCCCCCCCACACACACAAACGTCGTATAGTAAAAGCACAACTCTACACACTGCGCTAGTGTCACCCCGCTCCCCCCCCCCCCACACACACACCGTGTAGCAGTAGCACAATTCTACACACTGCGCCAGTGTCACCCCGCTCCACCCCCCCCCCCACACACACACACACAAACGTCGTATAGTAAAAGCACAACTCTACACACTGCGCTAGTGTCACCCCCCCCCCCCCACACACAAACACACATTGTGTAGCAGTAGCACAACTCTACACACTGCGCCAGTGTCACCCCCCCCCCCCACACACACACAGTGTAGCAGTAGCACAACTCTACACACTGCGCTAGTGTCACCCCCCCCCCCCCCACACACACACATCGTGTAGCAGTAGCACAACTCTACCACACTGCGTTAGTGTCACCCCCCCCCACACACACACATCGTGTAGCAGTAGCACAACTCTACACACTGCGCTAGTGTCACCCCCCCCCCCCACACACACACATCGTGTAGCAGTAGCACAACTCTACACACTGCGCTATTTTCACCAGATCTAGCACCAGATGTACCACTTAAGTACTTGGTTCAATTATCAAAGTGCTGTTCCCTTACTCAACCCCCCCCCCCGACACTTAAACACACACAAGATTAGTTTTACAATAATAAAAAAACAACAACTTTCAAATGTTCTAATATTCAGCTGTTTTGTTGATCTAGTTTGAAATTTATCAGATGAAAACAAAAAACGGAACACTGCAGATTTAAATATCGTGAGAGAAGCATT